CGGTGGCACTATCAGCATGTCTGTACCTCACACTTTAAACCATAGCACTGCAGGCATCGGCTCTTCCACAGCCTCTGCAGAGGCTGACGGCCGCGGCGTCCATGGGAGCGTCATGTCTTTCTCAGTGACTGTCACCACCATACCTGCCGGTCACACGCTAGACCACGGCAACCAGGGTGAGCCCTCACCTGAGCAGTCGTTCATGGAGGGCTCCAACATGGAGGACGTCCAGTCCAAATGCTACTGCCGACTGAAGGCGATGATCATGTGCAAAGGATGTGGAGCCTTTTGCCATGATGACTGCATCGGCCCCTCGAAACTCTGTGTGTCATGTTTAGTTGTACGATGATATGAAATTAATAATACTTAGAAGATGGTTTGATTTTTTATTGATGCGAGACACAAAGCAGAAGCAGGTCATTCAGAATCACTGCTGGAGTGACGCATGTTAGCCACGCTCTGCACAAAACAACCAGCACGCGGTTGCTGTTGGAAAAGCAAGGATTTACACTGGATGGTCTTTTGTTTCACCAACATCTATGAAAAGTTGTTTTGTGCAATTTTTTGGTAGAAATGTCAATCAATTTTCAATCAGATCAGTAGTGTGTCAGATGTATGACAAATATAAAATCTGGCAATGTTTGCACTCGGCTAGGATTAGTGTGATATATTTTTTTAAATATATATATGTGTAGTTTTTAAAAAAAGGAGGGTAAAATGAATGTTGCTATTTTTGTAGAACATAATGACTGTTGTGTTTAAGACTGACACTTTTTATTATTGGGCCTAATCATCAGTTGTGGTTTAAAGGCAAAAAAAAAAGGGCGCTAATGATAATCATTGGTTATAGAGTACCTCCTGGCATTTATGCACGCATGGCAGGGAAGTGCAACTCACAGTAACTATTTTATATAAAAAAAACTGTACATTTATTACTGAACACACTCAGATTTAAGAACATGTATCGTTTTAGAAAGAGATTATAGATGGGATTTTGAATGATACCATGAAAACAACTCATGAGGATTGAACATCACATCATTTTTTGAGTAACAGTTACAGAGTGAAGCACTTGAAAACTACCTGGATGTATGGTAATGACTGTGTACAGCACTTACATTCAAACATAGGGGGAAAAGAAGAATCATTTATATATATATATCTATATATATATAGATATATATATATAAAATGCCTATATGTTCCTTTTTTGAGATCTTTTCCATTCCAGGTCAAGGTCTAGAGTCACTTCCTACTGTGTGAACCTTCATTTTCTCCCCAGAAAAGCTAGTTTATAGACGTTGTCTCCTGTGAGATGGGTATTCTCATGCTTGTATGCCTGTACAGACGGATCAGCAGTGGCAAACAGTAAAAAACACTCAAGGCAAAGGGGAGAAAATGAAGATGATTTTGTTTTTTTCACTGTAAATATTTGCTCATTAACGGTATATGCCTAGATGTAGAAATTTATTTTATTCGTGCAGCACACTTTGCTTGAGCATATTTTTGTTTATTACAAGATTATTTTTACTGTGGAAAGAAAATGGAGAACAGCACGTTATGCTAAAACGCTAAATGCTTTATCACAGAATGATTGAGCATAGCATGCTTTGGTTTTACACAATGGATTGGAGGTACAATATGACACTGATTAACAGGCGGATGTAACATTTCACTTAAAAATGGCCTTTTTTTCCCCAGAGAATTGGGAGTCAAATTTATGTTTAATGTGGTTTGAAGTTTTATAAGCACAACACAACATTGGATCATGTTTATATATTGTACATGGATGGACCAGCACATTTGTGGTGTTGTAACAACCTTGTAACTGCATTACAATGACGTTAACACAATATAAATGCTTACCTTACCACATATTAACGTACAAAAAGGCCGATGTGAAGTGTTACCTCAGCTGGTTTTTCACGTGTTCATGCTGAATGCAAATTAAGACGCATCAACTTTATTTTGAAAACTCCTGGAGGTGCAAAGTAGGCCTGTTTTATAGCGATTATTTACAAGGTAATATGCCAAAGTCACCTTTAAAGAAAACAAAATAATCAGAACTTGTTTTTAATGTCTGACTAGTTAATCAAAGTAATATATTTTAATTAATATATTTTAATATAAAAAAAAATCTATTTGCTAATTGTTTTTTTGAAAATCAACAGGGTATTTACTATAATAATATATCGGCTGTCTGTTGTTCCTATAATTTTGTTTAGACTGGACAGACCACCATACAGAGAATAACTTGACTTTTATAATTCAAATTGCCCAGGTATCAATAATCTGTATGGCCCAGCTTTTTTCAGTGGTTCCGTTGGTCTATATTTTTCCATAGAGATGTTGTCTAATGTGTGTACCCTTCTTAGCTGTCTACATTTGTGTCATTACCTTATGAAAACAAAATGACATGTTTTTAAAAGCACCATTTTTAGGTCAGTGGATGAATCAAAGTCCATTTTTAAAATGTATTTGTTATTAAATGGGGGGTTTTGTCTCGTGGAAAATTGGTTTTAAGATGGTAGGGCTAGGATCAGGACAGGTTTCCATATATTTAGAATAGTCATTTCATTAAAACAGTATTTGATTCTGTTAACACAAATTTAATGTGTCCCCCATAAATATTTAGGTCTTATTTGGTTGGACATGATGTTAGGATGTTGTATTTACTCATGTAGAATTGGGGACTGGATCGCACTGCAAAAACAATTAACAAAAACAATCAGTCAACCCAAACGGCAGCTGAAATCTTTGTTAATAAGGACTGAAACGTGAGTCAGGCAGCAGTCCCCACTGTCGCTGAAGTTATCTGTTGTGTGTGCATTCAGGAGAGGAGTTTATATAGAACTGGCCAGAAAGTGTCATGGGCAATCATCACCATTTTTAAAAAGTCACATTTATCACTAGGTGAATTTGTTTAATATGTCTGTGTCATTTTGTCTCCATTTAAACTCCGGGTGAATGTAATATAGTAATCAGCACTTGTAAACAAAGTGTATTTTATCAGAAGTTATAGACTATTATGAATAAATAATGAAAAGAAAAACAATTTGTGTGTGTGTTTACTGGTGCTTATATCACAGAGGGGTGTAAGAGGCAGTCTGAAGTTGACTCGACAACATGAAGTTAATAGTCTATAAAACAGTTATACAGATGTCATTCAGGGAAATCAGATTGGGCTTGATCTAATATTTAAAGCAGCAAATTTATAGTGCCACAAAAAGCTGGGTTAGGGTTAGGGTTAGGTTAGTTGTTAGCTGTTGTTTTTGTATACTGAGACATCGCTGCGTTTTCTGCAGGATAGTGCCATCAAAACATTATTTTATTTTGTTGTATTTGTTTTTTTTAACCGTGACATCCTGCAAGGATAGGGCCATCAAAATAGGTTGTATTTTACCAAGACGTTACTGCATTTCCTGCAGGGATAGTGCCAGGAAAAGCAATTTTCTTTTAAAGATTATTGTTTTGGATAGGATAGTCTATATGTGAGGTGGGGGAGAGAGAGGGAGGGAGGGATGACATACAGCAAGGGCCCACAGGCTGTAATTGAACCCATGGCCGCTGCAGCAGGGACATTGTCTTAATATATTGGTCCCTGCTCTACCTACTTAGCCACCAGGTGCCTTGAAGCAGGTGTTATTTTATCCAGATTTAGCTGCATTTCCTGCCAAAATAGTGCCTGGAAAAGCAGCTGACACATTTCTTGTTGAGGTGGTGCCATAAAATGATTGTTTTTTCTACCAAGACATCGCTGCATTTTCTGCAGGTTAGCGCTTTCTTTTGTTTTTTGTTTTAATCAAGACATCACTGCGTTTCCTGTGGAGATAATGCCACGAAAAGCAGTTGTTTTTTATCGAGACATTGCTGCATTTTCTGAGGTAGTGCCACATAAAACTGTAGTTTTTTTAGTGAGACATTGCTGTGTTTCCTGCTGGGATAGTGGCATGAAAGCTTTTTTTTTTCTTTTTTATCAAGACATAGTGCATTTCGTGCCAGAGTAGAGCCACAAACAGGAGTTCATTATTGCAGAGACGTTGCTGTATTTCCTGCTGGGATAGTGCCACAAAAAGTAGTTGTTTTTTACCCAGACATGGCTGTGTTTCTAGCAGCTTTTCATCCACCAAAAGGGGATATTTTAAGCCATAACATGATCTTTTATGAACTATAACAGATTTTTTTGTGCCTTAACTTATCCACAGATTTACCACAGTGTTGTTGAAACATAAAGTTTCAACTTATCCGCTACTTTATAATGTACACGTGTAACATATGTGTGGTTTGCAGAAACGTAGGGCATGAAAGACAACGATGACTTCTTCTCTTGGTTAGTAGCAGAGAACAGCAGAATGACTGTAGTAAACATTAATAACAATGAGAGAGAGGGGAAAAGCACAGCTGGTACCAGTGTATCAATACTGTGAAAAATAAGTAACACTATGCCACTGCTGTTCATAGGCTTTGCTGGATTTAGAGCCATCCACCAGGCCAAATGAGCACACAGAGAGACTAAACATGATTTCTTTATGTTAATAAGCAACATAAAATGAACTGGTGACACAAGCCTGCCGAGTCAATACATTATCCAGGAGAGTTCTGTGTTTCTATGTTTAATAGGAATACAGAGTGAGGTAAAACTCCCACCTAGATGCTAGATTGCATTATGGGAAATGTAGGATCAAGTCTAGGGTTTGACTCAAAGTCAGGATGTCTCTGTCTCTGCTGTTTTGATTTTATTAATTCTTTTTTTAAATCTGTCTTTTTGAGTCCCCCAGCTTGAAACAATATGAAAGTGCAATATGAAATGGCTGGAGGATCCCTTTGGGTTAAATTAAATCAGTGTTTCGTGTTTCATCTCCACTCTGTTATGCTGAGGATCATAATTCAGAGTAAAAGCAGCAATAGTAGTAGTGCGCCTTTAACCAGCGTGCGTGCGCACATGCGTAAAGTATAGTAGGTGGTCGCGCATGGCATCTCCGTGCCTGCTTGCGCTCTGCTCTGCCGTCCTCTGCCGCTGGGTCGCTGATGATGCCGAGCGGAGCGGGGCGCTTGTACGTTTCGATGTGCGGCTACAACCGCAGTTCCCAAGATTGAAGTCGGATGAAACGGGAGACGAGGCTGAAATATGATGATGGATCGTCCGAGCCGTTTCTCATCGCTCGGACAGCTGTAACGTCGGCGGACACACGGGTGGATTCATCAAAGGTGAGAGTGCGGCTGTGAATCACGGAGGAAATATCCTCCTTATTCACCCTGGACCACTTATCCTCCTCATCTGATGCTGGTGCTGCTGGTGCCGATGATGATGATGATGATGATGATGATGATGATGCTCTAAACGCAACCTGCGTGATTTTCCTCCGGTAAAGGCCAGCTCCCTGCTATGCCTCTCATTCAGCTGTCGAGACACCAGTGAGAATTGAAAAGATGCAGGATTGCCATTGTTTATTATCTCCCCACAAAAATTTACGGGCATCACGACACATCATTCCCATTGTGGAAATTAGGTAAATAGGCAGTTAAATCAGCAATATGGCTGCGTTTGTGCTCTGCCGTAGCTTCAGAAGTGAATTTTAAGTGTTGCAGGGTTGCTCACTGTGAGAAATGAGGCTTGTAGAAACCGAGAGTGGATGATATCAGCGGAAGGGAGGTACTGCAGTAACCGAGTCCTTATGTTAACTCGCGTCAAAGGATGTTGTCATTACCTCTGAGCTGAAGGTGCGGTTACAGTAAAATGCACCTTTACGGGCCTGTGATGATAACCACACAGTCTTAGTGTATCAAAAGAGAGATGACATCAAATTTATTATGATGTCATGATTACTAATGTGCAGATGAGTGCTTAAAATCCCATCAATTCAGACCTTTATCACACTGATCCTGGTCTGTGCCTTTGAATGTGCTCTGGTCTGTGAATTCATTTTATCCATGAATTATTAACAACTTGTCTCTGTTTCCTCATCCAACATGAAATGATCAACTCCTGCATTTATACTCATGCATTTGCTGCCATGCACCACTTTCATTTTTCCAAATATCGCCTGCCAAATGCTAGGCCTGAGTTGCCTACTCATGAATTTCTGCAGTTACTTCACAGGCAGAATATTTACAATGAACCATTGTGTTATTTTGCTGACATGTGTCTGTTGAGTCTCCCACTGCATAGCAAATGTTTTCTTCCCCCCCCCCCAAAGTAGCAACACAGCTCCTCTGACATATACAGTGTGTGTGTGTGTGTGTGTGTGTGTTGCTCCCTTTAATGTGTAATTAGGCTGACCAAGTGTTTTCAAGTGCCATCATGGCCCAAAGTGAACCCTTAATCCTGACTGAGTTATGGTCATGATTTGCCCACTGAGCTGCTGAGAGCCACACGATTGATTCAGAGCAGTAAAATTGCTGTTTAATTTAGCACACAGAGTTTTTTTTTGTTTGTCTTAGAATGAAGCAATTAATCGATCAGTCACACAACTAAAAATATTTAGCAACTATTTCAATAAGTGATTATTCTAAAGTCATTTTTCAAGCAGCCATGCCCAATTATTCTGTGGGTTCAGCTTCTCAGGAGTGAACATTTTCTGCTTTTGTCTTTCTTATACCATCAGTGACTAAATATTTTGGGGGATTTTGGATTGTTGTTTGGCAAAAAATGAGACATTTAAAGATGTCACCTTGAGCTTTGGGAATGGAGACAGGTATGGCACCAATTAACAACCATTTTCAGCCAATGAATCTTCAGATTATTTTCCTGTGAATGAACTGTTTTGTCGGTAAAGTGTCAGAAAATAGAAAAAGGAATGCATGCTCCAAAACCAAAAATATTCAATTCACTGTCATATCTGGCACAGAAAAGCATTAAATGTATACTATGCAGGATTGTCAGTTACTGTTTATAATCAGGCTCGCCAGAGAAAGTGAAAGTAAAAGTAACAGCCAACCCCAGATTCCCTTTCATGTTGTGTTTCACTTTCCTACATTTGTGTTTTTTGTGCTGTGTCTTTCTGTCTGCTGCTCAAACCTTTTATGGGGGTATACGCCCATAAACATCCCAAAAACAAAAATAAGAAAATAAGAAAACACAGGCAGAGGGCAGAGTCGCTGCAGAAAAATACACCACCACAGACTTACAGTGGGTCATAAGTGATGATCGAGAGGGATTATTTCTGTATGAGGCTGTACATTGATTTGTAGGAAAGCCAGTATCTTTTTTGCTGACATTTTTGGCTTAGAAAATATAGATAATAATATAGTGGATTAATAGACTAAGCTGCAGCACCAGTGTTTTTTTTAATTATTATTTTAAAAAAAAGAAACAATACTTCACTGCAATACAGTCAAAAAAACCCTGCTGGTGCCTGTAATCTGAAATTGTCCATAAAATTGTCACAAAATAGTAAAAATAAATGACTAAATAAAAATTTGCATGTCTGTTATATTTCATAGAGCTCAAGGTAACATCTTGAAGTGCCTTGTTCTGCCAATAAACACTCTCCAAAAAAAAGTTTTCAATTTACCATCATATATGGGACAGAAAAGCATTCAATTTTCACGTTTGAGAAGCTGAAACTAGCAACATTTTTTGCTTACATTATTGCTGAAAAAATGCTCAAAACGATTGTTTGATTATATAAAACAGTTGCTGATTAGTTCCCTGTTGATGTAGATAATAATGTAGTTGATTGATTGGACTAAGCAGCAGCTCCAGTGATGGGCTTTTTGATATTTCATATACTTGATCACTTAAATAATCATTAGTTGTGACTCTGATCATAATACTTACTGTTAAAGGTCTAGTGTGGAGGATTTAGTGGCATCTAGCTGTGAGGGTGCAGAACTGAAACTTGTGTGAAGGGTGTAGGAGAACTACAGGCTAACACAAAGACGCTATTGGTTTGTCCGCTCTGGGCTACTGAAGCACAACACGGCAGACTCTGTGTAAGACGGGCTGCTCCATATGTAGATATAATCAGCTCATTCCACGGTAACGAAAACACCATTCTTATTTTTAGTATCATCATAAACATAAGAAAACATAGTTCTGTATATTATATTCTGTTATAGCGACTAGATGCTCCTACTGGACCTTTAATCACTGAAATAACCACTGGTTGTTACCCAGATCCTAATACTTATTGTCTTCAATAAAAGTGAAATGATGCTTGACTGCATTTTAGTGGATAGATTCCTTTAAAAGACCCTTGCTTGTGCCTGTAACCTGCAATAAGAACCACTCAACACAAGCCAGAGTAGTAAGCTAGTGACTGGAAAGAGGCTTTGTCATAACAGTAAAGATCACTGTGAAAAGAAGAGCGTCTCTAAAACACGGCTTGATGTAAAAAAAGAAAAGAAATCCTGCCTGTGTGTAGACTTCCTGAGAGTAGCAGAACCTTTGCTTCTTTGCTTTCACTCTGCTGGTCAGCATCCTGCAAACATTCATGTGATCCAGACATGTTTGGGGCGCTCGGTCCGAGGTACCCCGGCGCTTCTCACTCATTGGCCAGCTGTAATGTGCTCCGCGTCCGTCGTCGTTAAGTGGTTCCTTTGCAGCTCTCCGTCGGTGTCATTAGCCCACAGGATGCAGTCCTTGCTGAGCAGGATGTCATGGAGAATTATCATTTGCACAGACCACGGGCACTGGAGTGTTCCCCAGCCAGCTCACCAATATCTCTGCAGGAAGAGAGAGAGGGGAAACAAAAGCACAAATTGAGAGCTAATGAAGTCCTTGAAGGAGGGAGAGAGGGGAGGTGTTAATTACTTATTCAAAAGTCAACTACATTTTGTCAGCGAGGAATAGCTTATCTCTCATAGTATTGGTAACATCGAGTGCAAAGACACCTTCGCTAACTCTTTGAATATGGCTTCTCTTCACAGGGTCGACGTTCAGGGCTTCACTTTGTTTGACATTCAACCACAGACAGGTAAGTATTGAAATCTTAAATTATATAGTCTAAAAAATGACACTATTTTCCAATACATTACACCACAAATTTAAACCACTGTACTATACTGAACACAGGACACTGGGAAAGAACAATTGACGATCTGTTTCAAGTGAAAACATCCACTGTTCACTGAAAGAAATGACTTGTGCCACAACATTAAAGCCCTGATGACACTTTTTGAAGAGTGAAGGCTTGAGTGTAATAAGGAAACCTGTATTGTTTCAAAGGGAAATTTGTCTTCCACAAGTACGAGTGTGATGTTGAAACAAAAGACAGACACGAACAATGAATTATTTTTGAAAACTCGCAACAGAGCCGACGCTGAAGTTGAATCAGATGTCAAAACAAAAGCTAAAGTTTAAATTGTTCAATAGATGTAGAGTCTTTGGTCTGAAAGAGATGAGTATCCTTTTTGTTTGTACAGCAACTGATACCTGCATCCTGAAGATTAAGGACTAATATTTAAATGTTCACATCATAAAGATATCATTTTTAACATCTTTGTACAATTGGATTTTAATATTAAATAAAAATTGATGGCACACTTTAAAAGAATAGTCCGACATTTCAGGAAAGGTGCTTATTTTCTTTATTTCTTGTTAGCATAAGCAGATTTCTCACATGAACTCTGGACAACGTCAAGAGAATCAGGTCCAGACATCGTCCGGAGTTTGTTGTAGCACACAACAGGAGATTGTCCCTGTCAAACAAGCTCTCACCTACTGGAAGTACTCTGAGTTTAGGTGAGGCCTGGGTAGAGCAGGAGGCAGGAGATTACAATGATTACACCATGGGCACACAGCCAGTTTCTAATATGGGAGTACAACTGAGTCTTATGCCGTTCAGAAGTCACTGAAGTTACAGAATCTCGTCATCTCTGCAGTTAGACATTGTCACTGGCGTCTTCTTGTAGCTGACCCGTCTTTTTCACCCTCAGATGTTTGTTTTTGTTTCATGCGAGCTTCATGATAGAAACGTTATCAACACACGCCCGCTGTGAATTCTCCTAACAGTTTCTTACTCTATTCACACACGGGCTCAATCACACATGACATAGACTTTGTGCTATGGAGCTAGCAGGGTAAAGTCAGTTAAAGGTCCAATCCACCTGATTTGGGAATTTGGGTTCTCACATACAGCTCCTTTGAGTAATAGATAATTTCAGATTTGCAGTGAATGTGTCAAAGGGGCTATAATTTGGTACAAAAGTGGCTTAAACAAAGAATAACCAAGCACAAAACCAACTACTTTTTTTTTTTTTTTTTTGGAGACAACTAAGATATAATGAGTTATTTAGTGAGCTTTAGAGGTGCTGGTAGGTGGATTTTGTCACAGTTGAAGAGAGTCAGGCTGGCTGTTTCCCCCTGTTTACACTCTCTATGTTAGGCTAAGCTAATGGCTATTAGCTGTTTAGCATCATGTTTAGCATATAGGACATGGTGTCAATCTTCTTATCATACTCTTGGCAAGAAAGCGAAAAAGTATACTTCCCAAAATTTCAAACTATTCCTTTGAGTAAAAGTCACATTTTTGTCAACACTCAATTTTCTTAGTTGCCACTGAACACTGACACCACACATTGCTGTTAAATAAGATGAGATAAGAACAGTTAGTGACTCTTTAAATGAAAGAAATCACGATTTATCTCTGGTTTTTAGTATCTTCAGCTGCATCCCACATCCTTGATATTTAAGTGATTCAGATAGTGAATTGAGTGAAACAAACAGATAGTTCAGTTTCATTGTTAAACTAGCTCATTAGCGTCTCTCAAGGCATTGAAATTTGTTGTGTACAGCTAAAGAGTTCACCCCAGTAATTTCATCTGTTAAGAAATCCAAACAAAGCTACATAATCTATGTGTTTTGCAGTGAAGTGATTAGCTGGAGTGATGACTAATACAGTCCTTGATGTATACAGGGTGAATAATAAAGGTGGTATACGAGTGTTCAGGAGCTCACATGTTCATTTCAGCTGAAGACCAGATGTTCTATATTTAAAAGATGTTATTTTATAAGCTTTAAGTAATCATTTATGTTATTTAATACCACAGAAAGTCATATTCTGATCATTTTTCTTCAACTGCACTTTTAATATACCATATATATAATTCATCCTCATTTGTATGCTTTCTGATTGTGGACAATGAAAAGAACTATGTGTTTCATTTATTAACATGCTGCTGTCTGAACTGTACGCACTGCGCGTTCTGCTGTTTGATGTGCCACAGAATGATCGAGGAAGGCAGTAAACGAGGGAAGGCCATGGTGGAGAAGAGACAGCTCTTCATGGAAATGAGTGAGTGGAGTCGACTGAAGAGAAATCTCTTTTCACTATTCATAGTCGGCAGTGGCTCATGTAATTCTTTGACTGAAGCAGGAGATATGTGCTCCCTCACATGTACAGTGTAATTCCTCCCACACAGATAACGATCACGTGTAAATGTACTTTCTGTAAGCCTGATTGTGTTCGGAAAGAATGTAATTTTATTAAATTAAACTGGACAGGCATGGCATTAACTTGAGATCTGATTTTTTCTTTTTTGCAGGAGCCCAAAATTTTGATGTAATCAGACTGTCGACTTACAGGACTGCCTGCAAACTCCGGTTTGTGCAAAAGAGATGCAACCGTAAGAGATTTTCCTCTCGTTTCAACTGTTATGACACTGTGTAATTAACAGAAACATTATTTCCAAGAGTCACAGTCTGATCACAGTCTGTCTGTTTCCCCCTCACAGTTCATCTGGTGGATGTCTGGAACATGATCGAAGCCTTTCGTGACAACGGGCTCAACACGTTGGACCACAACGCTGAGATCAACGTGTCACGGCTGGAGACTATTCTGTCTTCCATCTACTACCAGCTCAACAAGCGGCTGCCCACCACCCACCAGATCAATGTGGAGCAGTCCATCGGGCTGCTGCTCAACTTCATGGTGGCCACCTACGACAGGTACGGGTGAGGTGGTCAGTGCAGATGAGCGATACACTCTGTGGGTGGGGATCACTGGAGTCACTTTTACTGTTGTTTGAGTGGCGTTGATGCAGAAACCACATCAAATCGGAGGCTGAATATTAAAATATATTTTATAAATGTGTATTCACATCTCACATTTTAGACCAGTGGCTCCCAACAAAGGTATTTCTACTTGTGAGCCTTTGTCACTGGTTCCATGTGTCTACAGGGTTTAACCAATGACAAAAAAATGTTTTTGGTTTTTTTTATCAATATCTAAAGGGCCTAAAGAGTTAAAATATTCTAGTATTTTACAGGGAAAAAGTAAAGATTAAAAGCAAATCAGAATAAATTCACCCAAACAGATTTTTTTTCTTCTTGCTACCTCTCAGACAAATCGTATGATCCCTTGTGGGCAGCTTGTTCTTATATCCAGGTTGTCAAATACTGACACTTTGTCGCTCTCCTCAGTGTGTGATATCGACACCAAAGGCACCCTTTAGCATCTTCATGCAATGCACCGGGCTTTCAACTTACTCCAGTGTAAACCCATCCACAGCAATACTTGATGCCGAGAGCAACTGACACAGTATAAAGACTCAGAGATTACGTACTGTATAGGGCTGGAGAGAGCGGAGGTGGATGGGCCAAACAAAACAAGACTTTAACCTAGTTTGCGCCCCGTGTGAAACCAAAACCATTGTTTTAATGTAACATTACTTAATTTACATACAGTCAAAGTGTACTGATGTCACTTATGTATTTACGTTATATTACCTTATTGTTACGCAACAAACATACTTATTTGAACTCAAAACATGATCTTTTTTCTAAACCTAACCAAGTGGTTTTGATAGCTACACCTAACTGGGTCTGGTTTGACCAGTAGCTCATGGTGGATTTTTCAATGTGCTCCTATCCTGTACAGTAAGCTTCACTTTCAGTGACTGTGGCTGCTCAGAAAAGTTCTGACATCTTGCTTTTTACATGACAACCTGTGAAAAATCTGCTAAAAACTGACACAGTTTATCATATGTAGTTGATTATCAACTTAAAGACAACTAACGGTAATTACAGGTAGTGTGTTTAACTTTTATAAATATTAATATTAGCTGGCTGCTACTCAGTCTGTTGGAACAAAATTAGGTTGAAACTTAAGGTTATGGATATAACCCTGGTTCTCTGATTAGCATTAGTGAGTGTCTCACCAGACCACCCTCCTTGCTATGGAAGCAAGATAGAGGTGACAACTGAAGGTATGTCAGCCCAACATATAGGAGGAGGGTCCCAACCCCTCCTGACATATGCGTCACTAGTGCCAGCCAATTAAGGCTGGCGTAATATTATATGAGCTTCTGATGGGGTCACGCAGGAGGCGTTCCCATAGTGAGATACGAAACAAATGTTATGAAAGAGAACCTAGTATATGGTTGGACCGTGCATGGTCAGTGTGCTAAATTGTGGACAAATTGTTACAGGGATAGCCAGCGGAAGTGTCTATAGTGTTAATTCCTGGATGTTAAATGATCATTTGCAATTTTTTTCTGTGATCGCAGAAATTTTTGTTTTCAAAGTGTACTAAAGTAGTATGTCATAGGCAGCTGTGGATCAGTATATAAGTCATTCACTCTGCAGTTCGATCCCCAGCTCCCTTCAGAATGCAAGTATCCTTGGGCAAGATACTGAACCCCAAAATAATGAGCATTAGATTAGATCCTGATGATCAGATTGGCACTTTGCCTGACAGCCTTTGCAGTCAGTGTATGAGTGTGTGTGTGAACGTGTAAAGCACTTTAAGTGATCGAAAGACTTGGAAGGATTTATAAAAATGCAAGTCCGTTTACTATTCACATGGTTACAATACCTGTGTTGGAGACAAAAAATTGGATATAATCATTCTGTTTTCAACAATTTGTTGTTCTGGATTACTCATCTGAGGTGTTGATGTGTAATTAATATTACCTTGTTAAACAGACCAGACCTAGGTTACATCCCATGACAATTACAAACATGCCCACAGCCTCAAATATTGGTCTTAGTAAAAACAGCAAGATAATTTCCTACTTCAGCATCCAGATTAGGAAGCACAGGGGAGACTTTGTTTTGCCTCCAGGGTTGATACACACTGTGGTGGGTTGCAGTATTTATTCATGGACAAACTCAAACCTTCACTGTACCACCTGACAACTTTACTACTGCTTTCTCCTGTGCTCAGATTGCCAACACCTGAGCACCCTGAGCACATCCGCCTTCACTCTATTTTTCTCTCGCTTGACCACACTCACTACGCCTACTAATACCCTACAAATATGGGATTGAAACATCTCGTTTGAAATAAAAGTACAGGATAATATATAGAGCTCCTCCTAAATTTCTCGGATGAGGCTTTCTGGGTTTAGCTCTGCAGGTACAGTAATAAACTCAATGCACTGCAACAACAATCGTTCATGTATTGAGGGAGTAGATCAGATGATTAATCACAGAGGTAGATGTTACCAGCAGAAACACTGTCACCCCTATCCATTTTGAAAGAGCAACAGTCAATGGGGAAACTCGACTGGCCAATGGTGTCACTTTGTCACTCAGTCACTCACACAGTGACAGAGTTTCGCCTTTATAGGCCCCTGTTTTGCTGTGGTCCAAGAAAGCAAAGTGACACCCTGTATGACACTAAAAAGAAGGTGTTATAAAGTGATTATTTGGATTTTTCATACATTCATTATGTTTTGATTAAACGGTTCTATTATTATTCAAATTGAGCAGTTTAAGAAAATTTCTTTCAACTAATTAACTAAAACATTTTAGACATTCATCGAGCAAAAATGGCACGGTGGTGCAGTGGTTAGCATTGTCGTCTCACGGCAAGAGGGTTCCTGGTTTGAACCCAAGGTGGGGGAGCACTTCTGTGTGGAAACTTAGATGTGCTGAGTTTGCATGTTCTCCCCGTGTCAGTGTGGGTTTTCTCCGGGTGCTCCAGCTTCCTCCCACAGTTCAAAGACATGTAGGTTAACTGGTGACTCTAAATTGTCCGTAGGTGTGAATGTGAGTGTGAATGGTTGTCTGTCTCTATGTGTCAGCCCTGTGATAGTCTGGTGACCTGTCCAGGGTGTACCCTTCCTCTCACCCAATGCTCCAGCCCCCCCATGACCCTCAAACAGGATAAGCGCTTACGGAAAATGAATAAGTGAAGTAAAAATATAAAAGAAAAAAATCAGTGGTTCTAGCATCTGTTTCCCTTGCAAGGATTTACTGCTCTGTTCTTGTCTTAAATTACACTGAGTATCTTGTGCAGGTTTTGTACAGTTGGTCAGACAAAACAAGTAGCAGGGCGGGGGTTTCTGGCACAACTTTACCTACTTCCAAGGTTCATAGAGATGAGCAGCACTTGTAGTATGTAGAACAAATTCAGTGCAATACCAATGTCTTTCAGCTTACGGCATTTTGAAACGCGTTGGACCCTGATGAAGGCCACATGCTGAAATGCATTGGTATTGCAATGAAGTTGTTCTATGTACTACAAGTGCTCCTCAAACAGACAAAAGGCACCTTAAGAAGTCACCTCAGACCAACTGTAATGGGCATTTTTCACTCTTTCCTGATATTTTTTAAACTGAATCCACAGACTAAAGGCAGAGAGAGGAACGAGACACACAGTATCATTTCATAACTCAGATAGCCTACTTTCAACAGGTCAGATAGTAATATTCAGGTGAATGATGGTGACTACGGAGGAGGATGTGGAGCACACACAGACAGAGAGTGTGACAGTGTAGAGACAGAAAGGGGCAATAGTTCAGCTGTTTCAAGTATCTGCATTGCCATATGCAAGACAGAGGCAGAGAGTGGCGACCGCCAGAGAGGTAACTCCAGTGGAGGGAAGCAAGGGAGGAAATGTGTTTCTACATTTTGTCTCATGTTGTGAATTTTCACATTAATAGAACAGTAAAATGCATTGAATTTAGTGTGCAAGGTCTCTGCGTAATGATTTTTATAAAAAGGCAGATAAAAAAAAAAAACACATACAAAAAATACGGACTTGGTGTGCAAACACCTGAAGTGTCGCAGAACACTGTCAGAGTTCCCTGTATTTAGTACCAAGTTACGTAGTTCTTTCTTCCCAGGAAACTGTTAGAGAATAAAATACCTATAAGATAAAGCGTTAGCATTTTATTTCACAACACATTGTCTAATGCTGCTTTAAAGTCCACTCCACGCTGCCAGGAATTCAGTTCTGGTGAAAATATGCTGAATCCCTCTGTTTATAGTTTATAACTGTAGAAAGTAAAAATTCCCAGAAGAAATACACAGCACAGGACTTCAGTATTCTCAATGGCCCTGATTTCACTGTACAAACTATCCATCCAGCCAGGTTTTAGGCCTCTGAAATCATGCCAAAACACTGACAAATGTTGGAACAAATACACATCTGCTTACTTTCTCTGTCACACAAAAAAAAGTCCCAATCAGCTGAAGTATTCCTGGTGATGTTTTACTGTATATCCCTCCTCTTAATGTTTGCTCTGTGCTCAAGGCATCCTGGAGTACAGAGGTTTATTATTGACCGTAAAGCTCTCTCTCATTATTGTACCCTGTGTGTTCAAATTGATTGGCTGCTTGCCCCTTCCATTCATCGACCCATTCAATTGGTTTACTTTTATCTGTAAGGCCATTCTGGTCCCGCTCCATTATTATTCATGCTGCTGTATCTCTGGGAAACTTTGTGGAAATGACTGTCTGCGATCACAGGAAGCAGTTTCGCTATCTGTCCCTGAGGTCCAAACTGAATTAGGCAGAAGAGCTTTCATGTACTCTGTTACCTCTGCTCGGAAGCCGGAGCTAAATGAACCTGAAATGAAAGAGCTGGTCTCTCTTGGCAAGTTAAAGAGATTTTAAGGGGTCTTGAGGCGGGCTAATAATGATGTGAATATACTGCGTTAATGTGTGATTGAAGGCTTAGTTCATGACCTTTGACATTTTACACATTAATGGATGCAACCTCAAAGTGCACTGATATGTTTGACATATGCACTGCTGTATGTTACAGTCTGAGAATCGATCGGGTATCAGTCTGACACAGATTAGTGTCTGGTATGTACTGCGTCAGCTTGTTGAAGGTACGAGCGCTCATGGATCCGTAACACGTAGTAATGTAGTACAACAGCAATGAATGAACTAGTGAGAACCTATGTAATCTGACATGAGGTGAGACCTTCACCAGCTGTGGCCAATGGTGCATTCATGTGCTCCTTGGAAGGTCATTTTTCCGACTTCAGTGTGTTTATAAGCTTTAGTTGTAGTGTGGAAACAACATGGCCGAAAGAAAATGTTCATTCATTTATTTGCCGTAACCGTTGTTCCTNGGGGGGGGGAGGGGGGGGCGTGACAGCTGACACTGGGTGAGAGGCAGGGTACACCCTGGACAGGTCACCAGACTATCAAAGGGCTGACACATAGAGACCGACAACCATTCACGCTCACATTCACACCTACTAGTAATTTAGAGTCACCAATTAACCTGCATGTCTTTGGACTGTGGGAGGAAGCTGGAGTACTCAGAGAAAACCCACACTGACAGAGGGAGAATATGCAAACTTTGCACAGAAGGGCTCCTCTACCCTGGGTTCAAACCAGGAACCCTCTTGCTGTGAGGCAACAATGCTAATAGTGCAGCGCGTGTTGTATTTTATTGCTTAGAGTGTTCAAACAACATGTTGATGACAAAGAGCAAAGGACACGGTTCAGGTGAGCTGTGAGGTACGATAATTTTTCAATTTATTCTGACATCACATGAATGCAGCACAAGGCTGGGGATGTCTGCTACTTTCCTCTCAAAGAACGACAGGTCCTTAGTCAGTGACATTTCTGTGACATCACATTGAGCGTACACAGCCAACCTGCAAGCAAACATAGAGGGATGGAGATGAGGGATTTGACTGGAATTGTAATAACTGTGTCATATTTCTGTGCAAATATCTCATTATCTTTTATCGAGGGGAGTCTCTTGTATGTAACTTTATCTGAGGTGACAATTGTGAGATGATATTATGATTAAACACACAGTAACACAAGCAGAGAAGACTGACTTAGCTAAAGTTAAGTTGAAGACATTCCTTTTTAGTCCCACATTCTAGTAGACAGGTTTGACTGTTTTAATTTATTTTATTTTTCTTTCTTCCATTGGTTTTAAGTCAGGTGGGCTTTTACTTTTACTATTTTATAGGTTTATCTATTATTTCATTTTATTTTTTTGGTTTTATTCTCGCGTTATCATCTTTTATTGGTCTATTTATTCTATTTTGTTCTGTTTTTAATTATTTTGTTTATTTTAATTCATATGTATTATCATCTTTTAATGGTTTACTTTTGGTGCTATTAGTTTTTTTTATTTTAACAAATTTTTAATCAGTTCTGAGTCAGGTCTTTGTATTTTCTATTGATTTATTCTTCATTGTGATTATTGTTTCATGAGGTTTAATTTCAAATTTTAATGGATTTAATTCACTTTTATGGTTGGTTGCTGGCTTTGTTCTGTGCCTGCAACTTCTACTTCACACTTTGTGCCGCACAGTGTGATTCCACCTGGAACAGAAATTTGCTAAATAAATAAAGTTTTGCTTGCTTAGCTGCCATAAGCAATCAGAAGCTATTAGTCATAACAGACCATGTGAGGCTGTAATGGGAAACCAGTCAGTGTATTAGACTGAACAAAGGTGTGTTTTACTGCTTATGAATTCATCTTTTCACCTTTCTTTCTTCTTGCAGTGAAAGCCATGGGAAACTGACAGTTTTCTCAATGAAAGCCATGCTGTCAACAATGTGTGGAGGGAAAATTGTAGACAAACTACGCTGTAAGTACATTTGTAAGCCCCCCTACACCTGCCACCAGAAGACAGATGTATCTGTGTGTGAATGAGCTGCATTTTTTAATTAGCTTGATTTTCTGAAATGTCATTGCCACCTGCACATTCTAGGATTTTTTTATGCAGTTGCTTAAATTAAACACACAGGGGCACTGTTGAAACACACATGCAGAATTTATTTGCTTTAACTGTGCCTATTTTGACTCTGCTGAGTACACAGGGTGCGGATCAATACATCCACAGAAATGTCAAAAGCCTGCTTTGCACTGTGTTCTTCCTAACAGTCTGACATTTGCTGTCCCTCAGATATTTTCTCACAGATCTCCGACTCAAGTGGAGTCATGATGTTTGCAAAGTTTGATCAGTTTCTCCGGGAGGTGCTCAAACTCCCTACGGCTGTGTTCGAGGGCCCTTCTTTTGGGTACACGGAGCACTCGGTGCGGACGTGCTTCCCTCAGCAGGTATGAGGAGGATTTATGAACACACCATCCTCTCATTCTTCTTCTTCTTCCCTATCTTCTAATAATTTGCATGTCTTGGTTAATACATGTTTGTGTGTGGTTGTATCCAGAAGAAGATTATGCTGAACACGTTTTTGGATGTGTTGATGGCAGATCCTCCCCCTCAATGCCTCGTATGGCTACCGCTCATGCACCGACTTGCTAATGTTGAAAATGGTGAGATGTGGACTCTCAGCTATTTATATTCACAATGTGCATCCACACTGACATTTCATCATTTGAATATAAATGTTCCTCATTTAATTTCTCTAAATTTGATGCTGATGTCTGTAAAACGGTGATGTAAAATAATGCATAATTTTACCTCTTTGGGCCTAGAAACAGTGAAATGGTAAACAGCTAAATGGATATGGACTTGAACCTCTATAGTGCCTGTCTAGTCTTTTGACCACTCAAAGTGCTTTTCTCTTCCACCCCCAGGAGCACTCATTTAATCCTTCCTCTGAACTTATATGTAAAGGTCCTGAACTTAATCTTCAAGTAAAACGGAGCATTGGTGACTTAGTGGATAGAGCAGGCGCCCCATGTACAAGGCTGTTGTTGCAGCAGCCCAGGTTCGAGTCCAACCTGGGGCCCTTTGCTGCATGTCATCCCCTCTCTCTCTCCCCCTTTCAAACTTACCTGTCCTGTCTATTAAAGGCAAAATGCCCTAAAAAATATCTTAAAAAAAATCTTCAAGTAAAACATATAAGGATTTTTCCATCATTATTTTTAATAAAGGTTCACAAGCCCAATAGTTTAGAAACTACTGGTTTAAGTTTTTTTTTTTTGTTTTTTTCAATGTAAAATCTAAATCTGTAAAGTTATTAGTCATTATATTTGTCAATATATGTAATGGAGTAAAAAGTACAATATTTCCCTCTGAAATGTGGTGTACAAGTACAAAGTAACATTTAATGGATATACTCAATTAAAGGACAAGTACCTTAACATTTTACTCAAGTACAGGTCTTGGCTAAATGTACTGAGTTACTTATTACAACTGGCTGCAGGGATACGTCTGACAAAGAAGGGTGAGAACCACTGCCTTAGAACTAACTGCACACACAGGTTTTTAAGATGTAAGATAAGATGCAGCAGCACAAAGATAGAAATAAGTACAGACATAAAAAAATAATTAGAAGTATATTAAATAAAAAAAAAAAATAATAATGTGAAAATAATAATAAAAAATGTGAAAATATAAGAGAACAGCTCTGTAAGTAAAGATGTCTCTGTCCCGTCTTTGTTTTTCTTTACTGCTCAGTCTTCCATCCGGTGGAATGTTCATATTGCCGGAGCGAGAGCATGATGGGTTTCCGGTATCGGTGCCAACAGTGCCATGGCTACCAGCTCTGCCAAAGCTGCTTCTGGCGTGGTCATGCCAATGGTCCCCATAGCAACCAGCACCAAATGAAGGAGCACTCATCCTGGGTAAGGCAAAGCCCTGATCACTCTTAATTTTACATCCTGTTGTTCCCTTTTCAAAACAATCCTAGAGTCAATATCTCTGTGAGAGTGGGGAATGATTTTACAACATGGCAGACTATTCAGCCGTCACCCTACATTTCCTGTCCTCTCAAAGCAATCCAAACGGGATTTTATGGGGTTTTACTCATTTTGGCAAATGAAATTGTATTGATTGAATTTGCTATGTTGCCACATTCCCCCAAAGCTCAATCATTATGTTATAAATCGAAACAAGGGAAGACATAGGCGCAGGATCCCAAATCCAATTCCCACCCCACACGGTTTTTCACAGAAGAGAATGACTGTTCATGAAGCCTCAGGACTTGACTGACACGCCTGAATAGATGCAACACAAAAAGATATCTGTAATGTGAAAAAATATTACCACGAGGGTTAGATGGCTGGATCTGTTCTGGATGTTTTCCTACTTTCGTCACAAACTGGTGTAAATTATATGTCTGTGAAACACATCTGGGACATTGTTCGCCACATTTTATTTGGTTTCAGCATTTGGCAGCACCCACACTACTCTGATTAGCTGGCAGCTTTACTGGCCATTTTCTTTTGTTGTGACAAAAACAATGGCTGTTCATAAAAGAACAAGACAACTGCTGTGTCAGCCAGTGCGTTAAATGTACTCTCCAACCATTATTGTGTGTCTGTATTATATGGATAAATTGCACGACATAAAGGCAGGGCCATTTTATTCCTATAATACATTTTATTACAAGTAAACTAAGATAACGGTCGTAGAGATGTCTGCCTGCTCTCCAGTATCATGGAACTAGATGGCACTCGGCTTGTGATGATAAAAGCACCAAAAAATACATTTAAAAAAAAAGCAATGTCTCTTTATAGAAATCATGACCTTGTTACTCAAGATAATCCACAGACCTTGTTGTGAGCAGTTTCATGTAGGAACTATTTTCTTTCTACTGAACTACACCCACCAACTGTATCACCACACACAATGAAGTGTACATCTACTGCTAGTTCACCTAGCACCACTGAGCTAGCTAATGTTAAAGCTCAGCCAAGGAGGACGCCATTAATGTTTTCATCTCGCACCGTCATGAGCACAAGCATCTCGTCCATGAGTAGATGCACACTCCCTTTTGGCGGTGATACGGTCGGTGGGTGTAATCTTTTTGATTTCAGTGTGAACCGTCCCTTTAAACAGTTTCTGGTTTGTTCCCTAAATGAAACCAAATGCTCGAGTGATCATCCTGCCTTAAGGAACTGCTATCCCATCTTACCTTAAATTAATTAATTAATAGTTTGTGTTTTAGTTTGTGTTTCACTGGAGTGTTAAATGACAAAACTTTTCAGAGACTTTTTTTTTTACCCTACCAAGAATAAAATTCTGTAGAGTTTGGTCCTTTTTTGTAGGAAAATGGTCGATCTGAAGACAATGATATCGGTAATCATTTATCATCACACATATTAAAAAGGACAATTACAGTATCATCTATTAAAAAATATGTTTTTTCAGTAATGGTATGGTATGGTTATGCTGCATTTATGTCATGTCAGAGCTACTGTTATCACCAATTTCCAACATTTTTTTTTAATTATTTTGAGGTTGTAAAATCAGTCTGTTAATGCACAGTTGTGTCCCACATGTGTTGAAATCTGAACATTCAAATTTTGGTCAAAGTATGTATGATGTTTTAGCATCATAATGCTTTTTTCCCAAGTCTTTCTCAAAACGTTTTCCTACCTGACCTGATGTTGGTTTCTGCATGATGACATAGTACATATAAACCCCATAGCCTTTCCCAGCGTGCCTCTCTGTGTCTGAGCCGAGTCAAGTAAACATTCCACCTTAAAAGTTGCCGGCAGTTGGTCTAGTGAATTAAGTTACTTTTTCTCCGACTCCAGCTGCTGTGAGAGGCAGCAAAACATCCTTTATTTAATAGTTACAGTTTACTGATTAAACACTCCACAGTATGAACAGTGGTTACATGAGCCTCAAAACAAGCCACAACTCAGCCCTGAGCAGAGTGACCATCCTCTACTGACCAATCAGACTGCAGTGTTCACAGCTCCACCTTTTAGTACCAGATCTGTGTGCTAGGTACCCCAACAGAGGGGGGACCAAAAATGGGGATGGTACAGAATGGTTTACTGGTGCTGTCCACAACTTTTCACAGTGGTAACGAAAAAAAAGTGTACTGAACTTAATTGTACCATACCGCACTGCTCGGTGGAAATGGGGCAGCTGTAGACCAGCAGCTTCTGTGTTCTGAAAGGTAAAATTACTGTTTTGGTCAGTACAGTCTGGTGGATTTGAAGAGAGTGATATAACAGCCTCAGATCCCAATCAGAAAGGGCTGTCAGACGGTAAGGTAAAGCAGTGAAAATATTCGAAATACTTCACTCATCTCATATTGATTTTTTTTTTTTAGCAGTACATCACTTAGCTTCCGTGACGGTGCTTATGTGTGCTTCTTCAAACTGGGGGCATGCCGAGCACCATCTACTGTCAGTAATACACTGACTATGGATAAGTACCTCATACAACCCCACTTCAAGAAGTCCAAACTAACCCTTACAGTTATCATTTATATCATCAGCCCTCAAGCCTACGTAACTGCCTTTTGCAAATGGCTGAGTGGGTGTTTCCATTTGAAAATCCTGCAGAAGAACACCGCTGGCGTTAAAATTGGATGTGTACGATGTTGCTGTCTGCACAGTATTTTTAGCTTGTACGTAACTGCAGTCATACACCTGTCTGACAAGAACACAGAAGAATAAACTCATTGCCTTGCAGTTTTGGGACCGTAGGGCAGCCACCCAAGCTGCATGTGGCGTAGCAGATACAAGCACTTCCTGAATATGCACAAGCTACTGCTGATCCACACTTTTGGCACAGTAAACAAACTGTTGACCTAGTTATGTAAATTACTTCTGAAGCAGCTTAAAACTGTTTCTACTACCTCAACACGATGATACAACACTAGGTGACAAATACTTTGTTTGTCCTGCCCTCCTCACAGAAGTCTCCGGCCAAAAAGCTGAGCCATGCAATCAGTAAATCTCTGGGCTGCGTCCCCATCGGAGAGCCGCCTCATCCTGTGTTCCCCGAGCAGGCTGAGAGACCACAGGAACTCACCCATACTGTGTAAGTGCCATTCCCAAAGCATTTGTTACCACTGGTTGTGTCATTAATGAGGGAAACCCAGCTGATTTGTTGATTAACAGCGCAGCAAGGCTTAGAGTGCTCATGATCTATTGTCTGTTCTTGTCATGTAACTGCTTCCATCTTTCCATTTCGCTGTCACTACATGACGGATAGAGTCCCATCTCGCCAAGATGTCAAGCCCATGATTATTTGCTAACGTGGAAATGGTGATATACTACGCAGGTTCAGCCGTTAACAGCACAGTCGTCCTCATCAGTCTGTTGGCAATGGAACGGGGACGATGGTATAAATCTCACACTCCAGGCTTTGAGGCTCCTCGAAGTCATTATAGGAAATGCATTATATTCTGCTGCTGTCTTAAACCGTGCACACTCATTTACATTTCAGTTGAAAAATTGTACGATTTCCATAATCAATTCCTCCACTAAGATACATTCGCACAAGTCCACATTGCTGAGGTCACTTCATATTTTTCTCATCACCCAAACACCAACAAAACTTTGACGCTTTCGGCCTCCACCAAGACAAAATCTAATAAGGTTTCAGAGATATAAAAAAAAAAATAAGATTTATGATTTTGTTTGTTCATGGCATTAATAGGATCACAGGAAATCTCTCAACTTACTTTCAGCATTTCTCATGGCACATTTCATAACAAAATCCTGCTTCATATTCCAGTCACGACCATAAATCTAAGCTGTCTGTATATGGGTTTTGCTTCTGGTAAGTGTCAGTGAGTAATTGATCGTGGGCTACATCATGGGGGAGAAACCAGCTCAGTGGATGCCAAGAAAAATAGACACAACATAAATACATCAACATGATTTCCTGTTTTACGGCGTGATAGATACCATCATCTCTGAATCTGTTCTCGCATCCAGCATCTGCCCACTGGCGGGAGGATTTTTCTGCATTGTGCCCAAACTTATGCATTTAAGATGAAGTTTACATTTGCATAAATTTACAATTCATCACATTGTGGAGAATCAACTGTCGACCTGAATGTTTCCCTCCAACTGAGAGATGAGGCGATTGGATTAGCTCGCGCAGTATAGGCTGTGTAGCATGAAATTACATCACACGAGTAGATTAATATTGATTAAAATAAAATTTGTGGCTGAAACTAGTTTGGTCCCTCCAGTGCCCTCAGCAAGCAGTAATCCGTACCTTTTTTTTTTTATGATGTTGATTATTTCAGATGATGGAGTCACAGAGAATATTGAGTTCTTCCCAGTTGGATCTCTTGGTTATATCTGATTTTATAGCACAGAGGCCTTTTATTGTTTTCCTCAGAATTTTTTTTAATGAACTGAAGGGACCAGTTTGATTTTTTCATTGTAAAATGATAAAAGTAACTGCCGTGGTAGAGAATACATCTACTCACACAGTGTATTTGAGGTTTTTTTTTAACTGTATGCTATTTTATAGCCTATTTAAAAACTACTCCTTTTACATTTCATAAGTAAATATTGTATTTTTACTCCACTACATTTAGATAAAGTTACTAGTTACCTTTCAGTTAAAGATTTTAGATTGAAAAACATGATAAGCTTATAAAACACAATGATTTGTTACAGATGTAACCAGTGGTTCCCAACCTTTTTGCCTTGTGTCCCCTTACAAAGAAACACGGGGTACTTTGGGCACTTGGTCACATTTCAGATGTCTATGAGTTGAGTATGACCTGTGAGGGTCCAAGGACAAAGGGAAGTTGTATGCTGTAAAGCCGTCTGAGGCAAATTGTGATTTGTAATACTGGGCTTTATAAATAAAATTGAATTGAAGTTCCGATTGGGCACATATACCCATCCCTCTCAATTTGCTGTCATACTGCTGAATCCCTTATTTGTATGTGATGTCAGTTTGGATAGTTTGGGTAGCTATGTTTGCCACGTTGTCCTGCTGCGTTCATGTTTGGTAATCCTCTCAGAAAGATGCTTGAGATCCTGAAAGCCAGTTATTGACCAGGTAACATCCCCTCTGATCACCACACACTGGAAGCAAAATACAGTGTCTTCTTTGACAAGCTAGCAGTGAGACGTTTTTTCCTTAAGAACCACTCCAGATTAAATCTGGTTATGTTTTCCATTGGTTTGGTTTATAACAATATCCTGCAGCTGGTGGGACAGCTGGGCTTTTTGATTTTAAGTTTTTCATCACATAGTTCATTACAGCAGAGAAACCTAAACTTAAAGCCACTGAGGAGGTGCATAGACAGGCTACAAATTGATGCACTCGCCTGCCAAAACCATCTGCTGTTCATCAAGTGAAGACAAAGTGTCCCACTTCTTCTTATTGTCTTTGATGCATTATTTATTTCTCACTGTTGTAGTGAATCCAAAAAATCTGTGTCAAAAGAACGCTACTTCCTCATTACGCTTAGCAGCGTATACCTGGCTTGACATGCCCCAGCGGTGTGGTCAAATAAACTATATGTGCTCTTCCATCTACCAACACCTGTCCCTTAATGAATGGGTCCTACCTATATTGACAGATACCCACAACAGTGACCCCTACAGGATAAATTAGCATCCTATATACATTTTACACCAGGAATGGCTCCTATAGGTCATGAAGACCACAGTTAGTTACCTTCTTTAACAACAAATACTAACGTCTGCCAACTACAAGCAAATAATGACGACAGTACTTGGCAAAGAGCCAATCAAATTACAGCAGGGCAACAGCTGGCATCATGTTTTCATTGCTGATGTTTTCCCACCCCCTGGGCACTTGACATTGAAAGCATTTATAGCTCAATTAACACACCATTTTAAAGCTATTACATCCAGCCACTGACCTTAAATTGTTTAATAATGATAAACAACAGCAACAGTTCAGAGTCTATTTTAAGAAACTCTACACTGCTAAAGCCAAACTTTTTTCCTGACCTGTCCTCTCCAAATTTATAACAATTATACTGTATTCTATATATTGTACCGCTCAGATGTTGCCTGATATTAGATTAAATTGTCAGCTTGTTACAGTATGTGTCAGTCAACTCAAACTCAGGGGAGTGGGCAGATTCAAAGGTCTGGATCCAGGCAAACTCAGGTGGCATCTTCCTTCAGAAAAAGTACTTACTGCTTACCCTTTTATGCTTATGTAAAATTTTGGATGCAGACATTTTGCTTATAATACTACTTTTAAATTGTTGCACTTGTACAGTACCTTTACTTGAGTGAAAGGTCTGAATACTCTTTCCACCACTGGTTATTTGGCACAAGTAGCAACACAGAATATCCTGACATCTGTAAAATGAAAGTTTTTGGGTAAAAATTCCAGGAACTTCTTGCCGTTATGCTTTCCTTTAAGCATGTAATGGACAAAGTGCATTCTCATGCTCTCGCAGATGGCATTTCAAGGTTGGTGGCACTGTGTAGGCTGTGTGTGTGTGTGTGTGTGTGTGTGTGTGTGTGTGTGTGTGTGTGTGTGTGTGTGTGTGTGTGTTCACTGACTTTTAGGATAATGGAAGTGACTGTTGACCCCTGAGACTTATTTGTATGTGTGTCTCAGTCTCTGTTGTATTGTCTGACGCAGGGAAGGTATTTAACAAAAGTCCCCGTCTTTGATGACAGAAAAATGCCTATTTTTGGTTGCAGAAGCGTTTGTGTTTTTTTATTTGTGTGTGGTGATGAAGTAGTGCTTCTCATCAGCCGTGCCATGAAAAGATGTTTTTTAAACCTGACATTCAAAATATGTATTCATCGGAGACTGCCATTCTTAATTTTGGTTCAGATTTAATGCTTCCATATTTAACTGTGCATGTCTTCAAACTGCAGAACAGATTTTATTTGCAAATCGTATCCAAAGAAAATGTATTAAGTCTATTTTGTGCACACACAGGGGAAAATATCCAGATTTCATTCCTTCTATGACACATATTTGAGAACATTTAAAGGATGAGAAGATTGATACTACTCCATCTCTCTCTAATGTTTGTCCGTTAAATAAAGCCACATTTCTAACCCTTTCAGTATAGTACCATTACGACCCGTCTGTAACCCAAATGGACATGGACCTGAACCACAGATCTGTTATGTGTTTCTGTTGTAGACAGTAGGCTAGTCTTAAATGTAAGCTGGATTGTTAGCAGATCGTAATAGCTGCATCACTGCTCCATCTAGCTCTCACTGTACTCCTCCTCTTCACCAGCGATGCAGAGGAGAGTCTGCACTTTGTTGATTGTACATGGACTGCGATTGTGCACCAACATTTCCAGAACAATTTAAAAAAAAAAAAAAAAAAAAAAGCTAGAGTATCTGTTACAATCAATGAGATCTTTATATAACAGCAGGTTTATGCATTCCTTGTTAAGCAGGAGTGATGTTTTTTCTCTTGCCCAATCAACGTATTGCAGTGTTTATAGCTCTGCCTTTTAGTATTGGATTAGTGTGCTAGGTACCTTAACAAAGGGGTGCCGTAAAAAAAGTTATGGACTGGAACATCTTCATTGGTACCATACACATCTTTTGACAATGGGAATGCAAAACAACTATTTTAATGTGTAATCAACTGAACTTAACTGAACCAGACTGCTTAGTGGAAACGGTTAAAAATACGTTCCACTTGTATGTTATTATGGAGCAGAGACATCTCGGTAAAAAACAGCTACGTTCCATGCTACTATTGCCACTGGAAAAACAGAGACAAGTACAGTAACTACCAAACACCCACATTTGGTGTCTAAAAAACTGCTGAAAAAGCACAGACAGGTTGTTACAAAATACCCACATTTGTAGCTTAAAATGCAACTGGAAAAACACAGATGGGTCGCTACAAAACACCCACGTTTTGTGTCTAAGAAGCTGCTGGAAAAACACAGACATGTCGCTACAAAACAAGCACATTTGGAGCCTAAAAACAGCTGGAAAAACAGACAGGTAGCTATATAACACCCATGTGTGGTGCTTAAAAGGCCACTGGAAAACCACAGACAGGTCACTATAAAACATACATGATTTGTGGCGAAAAATCTGCTAAAAAAAACAGACATGTCGCTACAAAACACCCACATTTGGAGCCCCAAAAACTGCTGAAAAAACACACAGGTTGTTACAAAATACCCACATTTGGGGCCTAAATAGCCACTGGAAAAATAGAGAGGTGGCTACAAAACACCCACATTTGGAGCCAAAAAAACCTGCTGAATAAACACACTGGTTGTTACAAATTTGTAGCTTAAAATGCAGCTGGCAAAACATAGATGGGTTGCTACAAAACACCCACATTTGGCGCCTAAAAAGTTGCTGGAAAAACACAGACAGGTCGCTACAAAACACTCAAGTTTGGTGCCTAAAAAGCCAATGAAAACACAGCAATGACTCGCTAAAAACACAACTGATTTTGTTCTTTGTTAGTTTTGAACAGTGGTCTGCAGCTTGGCAGGTGTCTCGACTAGGTGACACATCATCCACCATCTACTTCAGCTCCCAAATGAGAAAGTCAACTTATATATTATGTCACTGTACAAACGTTGATATGATCCATATGAAACATTCAAATGTAGTGTATTGTTGATTTGCAGAAATGCACAATAGCAACAACTTCTTCTGGTGACTGGACTGGATAGATACAAGAGTGGTATGGATCGTCTCATGGCAAGAAGCAAATGAGCATAAGTCTCAAAAGTTGAACTGTTCCTTTAAATCCAATATACCAGTTGTAAATCTTTTTTTCAGTACTCTTCGTAGTCATGAGCCATAGGGAAGAGCTGGCACTAATGGAACAATTCTCACTTGTTAACAGTCAATTTCAGAAAAATTATGGATGAATATAATAATTGTCCGCCTACCATTCCCATGATGATTCCCCTGCTGGCTACAGAAATCTTTCCTCAAACTGGATCGCTCAGATAATTAGTCACAGGAAAACTGCCAAGCCTCCAATTTTTATTCTGAATTGACTTCATTTTATTGATGATCCATAACAGAGAGCGAAATGTGCCATTGGTATTCTAAAACTAGTGCTGCTACAGTAGTTGCCAATCCTGATGAATGTTGTCTGTGAAGAGGTGTATTTTCATTTCATCCATCAGCATAGTCTCTCAGGTGTGTGTGCGTGTGAGGCTGACGAAGCGGCTGTGAGTGAGTAATAATGGCAGAACCAGGGTAGAGCGTCTGGCTTGATAGAAACTCCCAAACTGAACGGACATGAGTCTCCCAGTTGTCCAACCCTTCGCATCCCCTTCAGACAAAGTGTATCTATTCTGATGCTGTTTTTGAAATATTTACTGGCATCTGAAAGCAAAGACGAACAGCGAGCTGAGCTGTGAGTTTTTCCCTTCCACTCAAACTGTCAGCGAGATTCTTGCGGATTTGTGTTTAGGAGAGGAGTTATAGGTTTGAGATGCACCGTCTGTCTCAGGAACTTTAAATCTATGATACAGCTTCTTACCTTCAGACTTAGTGCCTCTTCTGCCAAAACACTTTAAGCACCAAAATAGTCTGAGAGTCGAAAATAGGCACCGTACTTTGCATTAATGCGGAACACACACTATAGCTTCAAATTCTCAGTGCCATGATAATATTTAGCAATTTCCCACTCTCTATATAATCCTCACAAATCCCTTTACATTTTTAAAATGCTTTCCTCTGTTTTAACCACATTTTTTTATACTCTGGTTCAATGCAAATTCCATCAGTGTCATTAAAATGGAGAGAACAGGCGTGTAATTCACTTTTCTGTGAGCGTGATCCATTTGTTTTTTATGGCCAAGGCTGCAAATAGGCAGCATCTTTTCCAGCAGGAGAGGATGCTCCATGTTTGCGTATTAATTTCGAGGTTCGATTGAAGGCAGCTGTGCATCCGTCATTTGTCAGAAATAAGGTGAATGTGCGTGTATGAAGCTCCACCAGACTTAATTTCCCCCTGTACCCCTGCCAACTGCCAAGTGCAAGGAAAGGGTGGCACATTGTCATTCACTGCACGCAGGTAGCACGAGGCTTAGCGCATTGCAGACTTTGATCTCTTAGTGCCTAAATGTTGTGTCAACTCACTCCAGTTTGACCTCTGAGGCACTGGCTGAGTTACTGGACTGTGCGGCTTTAATCAGCATTTCTCCAGCCAGTGAACCACGGGGGCTGCAGACACTGATGTGAATGAGTTAGGACGCCTGTAAGAATGGATCCAAATTCTTACAGGAAAATGAAATACTTTTACGTAAGTAGAAGCTGCTCTTTTTTTTATGCACTCCACAGGAGTTATATTGGTGTACTTGAAAAGGACTGATGATTATTTATAGAAGGATGGCCGTGAAGAGCTTTGACTTATGTAACTCACTGAAGGTAAAAGGGAAGAGTTAAGATATGTAAATGCAATTATAGTATAGACTGCAGAGGCCAGTTTGTTATATGTTTTCCTCCTGCAGGGATGGGAGGTTTTTTTGGACGCTGCAATTGAGGTATTTTGAGCAAATGGCATTTCCCTAATTTCCAGTGTGTATTCATGTGTTGGAGAGAGAGGTGAAAAGACAGTGCCGGAACAGGGAGCTTCAGAGAGCACAGAGACAGAGAGAGAGCGAAAGAGAGAGAGAAATCTACGTCGTCATGAAGTCATGTGACCGCCGAGTTTCCTTGGAGACAGCAGCAGTGTAGTACATTGAGATGCTCGCTTGCTCAGTTGAGGGCAGATTAGGCATCTGGCAACAGCAGCAGTTGGATGTATTTTGCCAGCCAGGCAGGTGCTTTCTCTCCTCACAGAGGTAAGTGTGATGACCCCGTGTCTCCTCTTCTGTCTACACCTTCTGGGTGTATTATTGTAATGAGTGTTAAATGAGAGGTTAACATTTCCTTGGAAGTATTTGTGCACACAGTCTGTCTGTGAAGGAGACTAGAAGGCAGCATGTGCAGGTTTGAGTAGTGACTTTTTTCTTTTTCCTGTTATTATCTTATTGCTTGAAACATATGAATCATAGCAGGATTGTGTTATAAGATGTAAATTACTTATGGAGGACTGTCCACGGTTGTCTTTTGAATCTGTTAGGCTGGTCCTGAGGGAAATTTAAATGTATGAACCAATAAATAATTGCAACGTGTCTTTAAAAAGAACATGCCAAACCCCCATGAGCATGCACATCAGTGCAGGGAATATGTGCTTGTACTGGTTTGTGAACAACTAACAAGTTATTTGAATACAATTAGTGGTCCAGAAATGATGCAGCTTCTCTTGCTTTTATTTTTAGCAGCACAATAATTCACAGAACAGACGACTATGTGTGCTGTTGAGGCACTTTGTGTCTTGTGCTGATAACAGTACTCTGCACAATGTGGATATAAATAGTTAGATTTCGGCCAAAAAATGCTGATTGGACAAATAGGCATAATAGGACACAATGGTGCTCAGTGTGTTGGCTTTTATGTGATAATGAGTGCTTTAAATAAAATAGTCAGTTACAATAGAATCAAGGCTGACAACTACAGAGAGATACTACGTGCAGATCGAGGAGATGCAACTACAGAGACATGGAAATCGTGTGCTGTTGTCTGTGGCGGGCTAAGCGTGAAGAGGGGAGCACCTGAGATGTGCAGAGTGATATTTTGATCCGTTAATGAGGCTCTGTGGTCCGAGGAGTTTGGGCTCCAACGAGCTCGTGGGGGCCACTGATTCAGCCGCCAGATGGACCCCATCGCTTTGTTTACCCTCACAAATTACCTCCCACAATGTCACCTTTCCTGGTTTTTCACAGACTTCCAGTTTAATTAGTTTCCTTGTCTGCTGTTGTTGCTCTTGCTCATGTTAATTAGGTTGAAGCTAATAGCCCTAAAAACATTTAAATTGCCTTTCCCAGAAAAGTCAATTATTTCGCTCCAATTTTAAGATAACTCGAGTACAACATGTTGCCTATATTTTGAACCACACTCAGTGTATAATGATCCCCCCTGCCTCCCCTCTTACTCTCTTTTGTACATTTGTGGGATAAAATTGAAGTCAGGATCGCTGATTCATGATTACTAATAAAATGCAAATGCCCTCTACTTCATTCCCTGGTGACAAGCACCACGGGCCTCTGCAGTGTAGCATTAAAGACCTCTAATCTTGTCTTTTAGTCAGCCGAAACCAGTGGCCAACAACATGAACGACACAATGCTCATGTCCTCTGGGGCGCCTACTCCTACCAAAAGGTAAGCACCCCCCCAGGCACAATGTCTCTTTGAAGATACTATTCTGATTATTTCACAGAATTAGCTTAATGTATTATTTAGAGATGGCAAAATGTCACTTTGAGTTACACACATGCAAAAATAAGTCCTTTTAATCCCGCAAAATTCACTCTGCGCTCAGAATAGGTGACAGATTCCCTCTCATCAGTGGAAATGGCAAGAATAGTGCGGAAAATCAGACTACAGATGTTGTTTGTTCCCTCACACTTGACACACATTTTTGCATCCGAGCAGCATGCCCTTGTGAGTGTATTTTTAGAGGAAAAATTTGTTACGCTGTCATGAAGAATATGTGAGCACTCCTACTTAAAGGGTTGATTTGACAAATAGATTATGATAGAATTGGAGCCTCGTCATGTAAGCAGATACCAGGCGAGGGCCCCATGAAAGCAACCTAATTGTCCTCTCATTGCAGCCCCTCTCTGTTAAAGGCCATGTCCATTATTATTTACTCACGGTGGTAATGAACCACTGTGGTTATGAATTCTTTAATGGAGGGCACTTTGAGGCGGCGTTGATGTATCTGCACTCTGTCCTGCAAGTCTGTGCTGGGTGAATTTTCCTTTTGTGTACAGTATCTCCCTCTCGCATCTTTCCCGCAATTTATGTTTGCAAGATGGGACTGCTCGGGGACTCAGGACTTCCCACAGCACATTAGAAGGGACGAGACGTCACAGTCTGGTGTACAGGAAGAATAGAGGTGTGCACATCAACCCTGTTAAATATCAGGTGTTTGACTGAAATCTGGACAAAGACTTTGGTGGAGAATTCGGGAGGAGCTTCAGTGAAGTCTGAGGCTTTTTTTTCTCTCCTTGCACTCCTCTGTGCCAGGTTATCATACAGTACTACACCAAGGACCCAGGCAGCTGAAGGGCAGCATGTACACTGCAAAAAATGTCCATCACAGCAACCTTAAAGTGTGTGTTAAAGGGGTGAGGTCATGCCAATATTAAATTTCTTGCCTCTGTTACATTACAGGTGTAATTATCTCACCTTGCTGGAAGATTTCCAATCTGTGTTTAGAAAAAATGAGATGCTAACAATCGATACCAGATTAAGTTTCTTGCAGAGATGAACATTTTGTGCAGTGCAGTCTCTGAGGGCTGACAGTATCAAGATTAGAGCGGGCTTGAAGGAAGCTGACAAGATAGGGACACCCGAGGCGGTAAACGATGCCTTACATCCAGACCCGTGGAAGTCAGTGGAAGACATCACATGTTGCAGCATGTACAAGAGCAAGGCGACGCTCTCCTGAGGTTTGTTTCACTGTGGCAGTAATGAAGAAGCTTGATAACCTTTGTCTTGACATTTTGCTCTGTGAGTCAGAGCAGCTTTGGGAAGATGTCATGCACTGAGGATGCTGTTGCCTTGGGGGGGCATAACAACTACAAAGCTGCCATATTTAGGGCAGAAATTGCGCATTAAGCCACCGTGACGCTTCCAAAATAGGTTGTGTTGAGAGTCAGTGTGGATACCGGTAGATAAGGTGTTGAATGAGGAGGGAAGGAGCATGCTTCACTTAGGTTTGGTTGAACGGAACAGAAGGCCGGTTCCCACCAGCTTCTCACTGTGTCACATTTGGTTTGTAAATATTAATCTATTATTATAATTACCCAGCACTGGCCTGCCTGCTTCCACATAAAGGGCCTATAGTCAAAGATGCTGCTGCTGAATAATGCAAAGCTCCTTGTGGCTCTGCCTCAGTTCAAGAGCCCCGAACTGAAAAGCAATGCCGGTGCTGTCCTTGTTTGTTGACCCTTACAGAGGGAAATACAAAACACATTCATGACTGCGAGTTGGTGCAGAGTTGAAACTGAATGCACTCTGTTTGAAAAATTGTGGGTGTTGTGCTTCCAGCCTCCATCACAGTCTGCTCTCTGATACTGTCTGCTCTGCTGACATGGCATCTGCTCCCTCCCACCTCGCTCACTCTCACAGACAATCGCTCACCACTAGCTCGTTCTCCAAGGGCGAACCGCAATTTATTACCTGTTAGTCATGCAGAACCATGGCGGCACAAGATAAAATTTAAGGAAAAAAAAAAAAAGGGAAATGCCATCTTGAGCTTGATAAGTTTTAATTCAGAAATGGGACTGAATATGAGCTGTTTGTGTTTCTACCAGGAGGTGTCATTATGTAAGACTTTACGGACATTGATTCATAAACTAGTGATTAACTTTGTCCCTTTCTAAAACAAACTTGATAACAAAATATGCTAAACAGCTGAAATGGAAACAGCGTCCAATAATGCAATGTGATTACTCACTGACTTCCAATGACACTGTAGTGTGATAAAATTATATTCTATTAGCATTTTACAAAATTCTACCATAAGGAGTCATTATTCCAAGCAAGCAAAACTAATAGATTGAGTTATTTAAAGTTTTGTTCATGAGTGAAGAAGTGCTTTGAATATTGATTCAATTACTTTGAATCCAATTTTGCTTATATTTGGTAACAAACACTTTACTTAAGGTCACCCTATTTAGCATTTATATGCAGAAAAAATACAAATTTCAAATTTATGCATGGAATAATTGCTACTTGAGGTAACATGAGGCCAGGGGTTAGTGTGGTGCTAAAAAATATTTAAGGAATACTTCACTCCCCAAATGACTACTACTGTCAATCACTCACCCTGTGTTACACTGAATACGTAAAGAAAACTTTGTGTTTCTTGCATGCCTCCACGATGAATACTCTGAATATATACTCCAGTTTCTAATGAATTGAAGTCATAGGCGACCACATTTAACAGGAGTAAACTGTATCAGAACATCTGTTTACAAACTCTCACACAACTCGTACAGTATAATCCAAGTCTAACATATCCAGTTGTATCCTCAGTACTTCTGTAGTAGACCGCCTTTCTGACAGGGAACTGAACTAAAAGTGAAACCTTATCTATGCTCTCTTCAAAGCTAGACTCCATTGACAAAAACAGTAATTTTACCTCCCTGAACTCAGGAGCTGCTGGTCTACCACTGCCTTTATTAGTTAGTTTATTTGTGTTATTGTGTGTGTTTGTTGTTTTTAAAGGGTTAGTTCAGATTCAACAAAGTCACAGAGTAACAAACAAACTACTGACTGAGGCAGTGGTAGACCAACAACTCCCTGGAAGTACTGAGTATACAACTTGATAAATGAGACTTGGATTATACTGCATGAGTTCTGTGAGAGTTTGTAAACGGATGTTTTGATATAGTTTTGCTGTTGTTTAGTTTCACTCACCAGACCTTTCTCAAGAAAAGAAAGGTCTGGCTGGGCCGACTCTCACTGTGAGATTGGAGAAAAAAACGCCCCGGCTGCTTGTACTTCTTTCAACCAATCACAATTGTTCTGGGCGGTGCCACAGCAACGGTGCGCTTGCAAAAATATTGCTTGGGGGAAACAGGTTTTGGTGTAACACGCCCACAAAAATATCACCTACAGGACACGAACCATGGCAGAAAAATGGCTACATCCCTGCAAGATCAAACACCGCAAAAGTTAGTAAAGGACATGTTGAAAACGGTTGAAAACTGCTACACAACCGGAGGTGGTAGGGCGGGACTTCAGCGGGTGGCTCGTTCCACCCAATGAGAGGCTGATCTCTGCAGCAAACTTCCGCCCACTCAGACTAGCTGTTGTTAAACTTGGTTGCCTATGCCTTAAGTTTGTCAAGGGTTTTCTCCATTTTTTTTGGATTCTTCATTCACCATGAGACAAATTGAGAAAAAACAAGTTTGATATACAAATGGTCATTTGGGGGGTGAAGTATTCCTTTAATCAGAACCATGACTGAATTAATGTAACTACACTAAAAATATTACAAAAGACATGTGGATCTGACACGTCATGGCTGATATCCAAAGCAGTTTATAAGGTCATTACTACAGCAGGTATCAATATGGCAAAACAAATCTGTTGGATATCTAAAGTTGCAAGATTTAAGTGTCATAAAAATGTAAGATTAACATTGACTTAAACACTTTGTAGATGAAATTGCATAAAGATGGTCCCTCCCTAGTCTGTAGTCCATCCAACTTTGCAAAACAGAGTCATGTTGAGTCTGTAATTTGTCTTTATTGACGAATATATTGCGTAAAGTCAGGCACTATATTGTAATTAACATCAGGAGTTTGATTCTAACTATGTTGCCGAACCCACTAACAAGTAAACATCCACCATGAATTCTGCAGAGACAATCAGGAACAAGATGTATCATCCCTCCAGATGTTCAACAAATTTGGATCTCTGCCCTTTTAAAGTTTTGACCTTTAGTACCATCAGGCAAATCAGAAAACAGAGTTTAAAAAGCAAAATCTGGCACGTTTCTGACCAAAACAGGACCAGTGGTGTCTGAGTTATTGTTTGAGTGAAAAAAAAAAAAAAAAAGTCAGTATCTTCAAATGTGAGACAAAAATAAAACTATCTGGGAGAGCTGCCAGTTCAGGAGGGCTTGAAGGCATTTCATGCATCTTTGTCCAAAACCTGGCACAGGCCATCAGGTGGTGCCAGGAAACTCCCTGGTGCAGCAGCTTCTCTACTATTAGCCCAAAGATCCCCGCATGCAGTCACGCTCCAAAAAGACTGTGTTGGGTCACAGTGTTTCCTGAGCCAACCCGAGCAGCTCCCTAAAGTGCGTTAATGTATTACTTTAATTTTACAAGAAACCTCAGGCTCTGTCTACACTTAAGCCTGAGGATGAGACTGTAAATTATTTAGAAAGTGTCCCATTTTACGAGACACTTCTTGACAGTCTAACTGCAGACCAACTGAATGTTGTTTTGAGTCAGGTGACACTATCTTCAAACAAGTCGAATGATCCGCAGAGTATTTTAAGATATCGTCACTGGGCTGAGAAACTCTTGAAACAAGAGAGGTGGGAGCTGGAGCAGCTAAAATTATCTCATCACACTGGCAGCTTTTTATCTGCTTTGAGAAAGATAAGATTTTTAATAATAATGTCGATTAAAAGGCTGGTTTTGTCATGTGTTTAGAGCTTGGGTAGTCAAAGCTACAGAAACTGTGCTTGTTGATGTAGTGGGCTTGAAGCCAGATTGGGTTTAATGGTCTTAATCATCGCTCACTCTCCAGTCAGAGTTAGATGGAGCCCAGCACCATTTCAGCTTTTCCTTCACTCTTCATTGCAGAACGCCTGCCGAGAGGGGAAAGCATATGTCCTGTCATCTGTCTACACCATATGCCACGCCCATGATCATTTAAAGTCTCATGCCTTATTTGACATTTGCAGGCAGTGATGAAATGGCCAGAACGGGCATTGGCACAGTCACAAATGCATTTGGCATGCTGCATTCTCTCTTATCCATCTCAGTTCATTGTTATGACCAATTATCTCAGACTGTCTATCAACACTGGAGTCAAAGCCAAGTGTCATATTTTAAGGTCACCTCAATTATAAAGTTTTACATGATCACTTTGACTCTACAAACTTTCCCTTCTACTTACATAAGAGCTTTGCACATTAGAGTCAGAGTTGCTGTATATGTGTGTGTGTGATGTATTTCTCTGTCTGTGACTTTGGGCAGTGTCTTGGAGAGTCCCAGCCGGCTAGATGAAGAGCACCGCCTCATCGCTCGCTACGCTGCACGCCTGGCAGCCGAGGCGGGCAACTCCACAGTGAGTGTCTCGCAGGACGCCCCGTGGTGGGCTTTAGTCAACCCGCATTTCAAATTTAATGCTTTGACAAGTTAATGTTAGGCGCTTCACTGTGGCTGGAGAACTACTCACACTTACAAGTGAGACTGTGTAATACTCAGCCATGATTTTTGTTGTTAGGAGTAGGACAAGTGAAGAAAGGGAGGGATAAGTGCTCTTATTTTATGGCAGTGTTACTTGTTCAATATGTTTTCTTACAACTCAATCGCCAGAAAAAAATGTTGGCATTGTACGTTTCTCCAAACCACAGACACTTTACTATGATGTAGTAGACACGAAATTTAACTTTTCTAACAATGCTGTGGTAAACGTGTGGTTATGTTTAGGCCAAACGGCAGCCTCTTGGGCTGAAAAGTGAAGCCAACACAAAAATGCCAAAAGGTTCCTCTAATGGCTACTTGAGGCTGGCTCCAGACTCCAGTCAATCCCCACTGACCAACATGTTGAAATGCCCAAACTAAATAACAGAAATAAACATGTTTACAGCCTGGTACAAAAAATGTTTTTGGTCTCTACAGCTAATTTCAACATTCAACAACTGTACACGCTAAAAGTTACGGTATGTGCATAATTAAAGGCAGGGCCAAATGAGTGACAGGCTGTCTGCTGATAGTGTCTTGGCTTGTTAGTCAGATCCACCCCTTGCACAGCTCCACTCTCTCGCCCAAATACGGTCACTAGTGGCTCCAAAAACAAACAAACATGACGGCAACAGCCAAATCGCTGAACACAAGGCTTCAAAACAGGAGTCCTCAAACCATTGCGTGACATTACGGTAGCTATGTCCATTATTTTTACTGTCCATGGTTTAGGCAAAAAAAACCCCACTTGGTTATGGTTTAGAAGATCATGCTTTGGCTTAAAATACACATGCATGGTATTACAAAAGCTGCTGGAAAAGTGGCAACAGGTTGCTAAAAACACCCATGTTTGGCGGCACAAAAGCCACTGGCAAACCTAAAAAAACACCTGCATTTGGTGGAACAACAGCTGCTGGAAATGTGAAAAGAGATTGCTAAAAACACATCCATGTTTGACAGTGCAAAAGCCACTGGTAAAGCAGCATTGGGTCGCTAAAATACACCTCCGTTTGATGGCACAACAGCTGCTGAAAAAGCAGTGACAGGTTGCTAAATATCAACCCCAGTTTGACAGTGCAAAAGCCACTGGTAAAGCAGCATTGGGTCGCTAAAATACACCTCCGTTTGATGGCACAACAGCTGCTGAAAAAGCAGTGACAGGTTGCTAAACACACCCATGTTTGACGGCACAAAAGCCACTGGCAAAGCTAGAAAACACCTGCGTTTGGTGGCACAACAGCTGCTGGAAAAGCGGCAACAGGTTGCTAAAAACAAACCTGTGTTTGATGGCAAAAAAAACCCACTGGCAAAGATGTGGGGGTCACTAAATAACACCTGCATTTGGTGGCAAAAGACCTTCTGGAAAAGCGGTGACAGGTTGCTAAAAACACACCCATGTTTGACAGCTCAAAAGCCACTGGAAAAGCGGTGACAGGTTGCTAAAAATAATCAGGGTTGTTGTTTGTATTGTGATGTCCTTGGTTTGTACAAACGTACAAGAACAACATCTTCTTCAGGCAACTGTTCTTTTTCTCGAAAAATGTAAAAATCACTTATCATGTACTTTAAAGTTGCAATGCTCAAGATTCAAGTCCTGGTTCATTTGGCGACAGGGTTTGATGATCAATGTCAGCGCTAAAACTATGGGGACATTGCATTTCCTGTGACTGCCTCACAACAAAAGCTACATGTTTGGACAGTTGGTGGCTGCTAATGTGGAGCAGTAGGGACTGTTTGATTTGCATTAGCAGTAACTTAAGAGAGTGAAAATTAAACAGTGAGGCTGATATCAATTGCATTTGACAGTCTGAATGAATTTTTACTGTGAATCCCTCACACAAATGTAAGCAGTATAAATCCAGCGAGGGAATGGCGGATAATTACAGAATGTAAATACAATGATAGCTATTGAGGAATCAAAAGTGGGTTTGGATTTAATTCGAATTGTTAAAGCCCTTGAAAACTTGGCTTCAAATCTGAAGTATTTCTCCATAACAATACTCGTGACTAATAAAGCACCATGATGTTTCTTTGATTTTAATAGAAGGTAGAAGCTTGTGTACATAAAAATTTGGGGGGAGATGTTAACTTGGATTCCTGAAGAGCATTTCGTCTAAATTTTCCTAGGCAGAAAATGTCCATGTAAGGTCACTCTGGTTTGTTTGGGTTTGTGCTTTGCAGTCCAACTCTTATATGGGGGGATAAAGGAAAGCTGTGGTGAGCTGAAATGGCTCCCTGTTTATGCAGAAACATAATAAGTCTCCAGCAGAGAGTCATTACTGCTCACCATGGTCAGAAGGTAGCTGTTGCTGTTTGACTTTTGTTCTCCCACTGATGTTGTTAATGCCATTCTATGCTAATTTTGTTTTCCAGCAACAATGTCCTCCAACAGATCTGGGTTTCAACTTTGACGCCAATAAGCAACAGAGGCAGCTGATTGCAGAGCTGGAGAACAAAAACAGGTACGATTTATATTTGTTTAAAAACAACAGCTAAACACTGGAAACAAATTAGCACTGTTACTCATTGATTGGCTTTCTGGTTGACAGTGGTATAATATATTAAATATTATTATTTCAAGTACTTAAGTATATATAGTTTCTAGGTACCTACAATTTACTTGAGTGTTACTTTTGTGTTTTTCTGCTACTTTATACTTGTAGGCCACTACTTTTTTACTTCATTACATTTTCTGACAACTACAGTTACTAGTTACTTAAAAGATTCATATTTTACACGCAAAGCATAGCTCATAAAGAGATGCGCTGTTACAAATTTAAACAGTCCAGTACTGAATAGAATAGTTAAACAAATAATTTGACAATTTCAGAGATATAATGTCTTGCCTAGACGTAGATGAAAAGATCACTACCACTTTCATATCTATCAGGTAAATATGAAGATGATTGGTGGCAAGTAGCAGACACACACAAGCCTGTGACTACATAAATGCGTTAACAAGTGCCCGATCAACACTTCAACAGCATTGTGTTGTCACTTGTAGTGTGAACCCAGTATTAAGCTCACTTTTTAAAATGTTAAAATCAACAAGTTTTAGATGAATGGGGAGGGCTGTGTGCCAGACTATTTCTTGGCAGTAAATTCCTTCAGAATCAGCTCTACCACGACCAGCTACAACATTAAAATGTAGTAGATGCGTTAAAAAGATTAATCCAATCACAGTGAAACACTGTGAAATCAGTCATTCTGCATAAGTAGTACTTTCCTATTGTAACTAAATTTTGATGATAATACTCTTGTACTTTTATGTGTAAAATTTAGAGTGCAGGATTTGTACGTTGTTTTACTACCTCAGTTTAAGTAAAGAACCTTAGTATTTCTGCTGTTTAGTTAACTGATTGATTATTTACTTATTTAGGGAGATCCTCCAGGAGATCCAGCGGCTGCGTTTAGAGCACGAGCAGGCCTCCCAGCCGACCCCAGAAAAAGCCCAGCAGAACCCCACGCTCCTGACTGAACTGCGGCTCCTCAGGTATCGTCCCTGCTAACACCAGCACACCTCTTAAAAAGAGCATCTTCTTCCCAACAACAGGAAGAAAGGACCATATATTAAGGAAATGATCAGTAAAACCACTCCAGGGCTGTTAATGTAGGCTGGACTCATTCCTCAAGAAGAAATAGTCTCTTCCTAATTCAGGGGGGTGTTTTTGAATTAGCTCCACCAGCAGCAGCGTGGACATTTGTCATGCTGGCAGGACGCTGAGACCCTTGGGTTCAGTTCTTGGAAGGGACTCACCCTGAGAGGACGCGCTACAGCACTTGTTGCCCTGAATGAGTCCTTGTTTGTCTGGCCTGGCCTAAATAATGAATCAGCAGTAAGGTTTATGGCTAACAGCCAGTTTTATAGCAGAAATTATTAACTGCGTTGTGTCATTATATACAATTATAGCAAAACTAGAGCTGTATTTGAATTATACTCTGTTAGTCTTTGGTGTTGGTGTTGTATGAACAAGATTCTAACTGTATTTTTAAGGAAAGACAGTAATTAAACAGTAGAATAATTTATTTATATCACTGGAGGATACAACCATTACATTAATTATTTAGTCCAGTTTAATTCAAACATGTCTAGAAGCATTGTTCAGCTCACTGAGCCTGTTTGTGATTCAGGTTGTGTAGCACAACATTATGAAGTAGTAATATTTCATCACAGACTGTGCACTGTGTCTGGAGCCTGGCTGGACGGCTCTGATGTTGTCTTCATTCAGCCCGAGGATACAGAACAGAGGAGAAGTGTTTACAGACTGCAGATGTTTGTGAGTTTTTCATAGAACAGACAGATGATTGCTGAGGCTCTTTGAAGGTTTTTTAAAGTGCAGGTCCATACTGTGAACACCAGAGGGTGATAATAAGCCAGAATCCTCACATTAAAAACAGGGCCAGACATCAACTGTGACCCCTGATGGAGGCAATGAATTTAAATCTGTGCACTCTGAGCAACTGGTCTTTCCTATTCTCTACTCCATAGCTGTCACAGTGCTCTGCATGTTGAGAGTGAGTGATTGTATTCCAGGAGAAGAACAGCTTCTCCTTGCAGATTAGATCTGTAATAATTGCAATAAATCAATAAATATTCAAGTGTACCAGGGTTTCCACAGCCTAAGGCCAGTTAGATTTAAGACTTTTTATGCCACTCAGAATGAAATTTGATGCCAAATTTACAATAACCAAAATTAAAGGGGAAAAAAACATGAACTGACATAAATTACGTAGGGTTGGGAAAAACTATGGCAGGTTTTCTTGGCAATTTTGCTTTGGGCAGATACAATATGCATTGCCTTGTACTGGTTTCAGCCATGCCACAAAATCTTGTTCAAATAACTGTTAATTTTTGTAACCTAACACATAGAGACAGACAACCATTCACGCTCACATTGACACCTACGGTCACCAATTAACCTGCATGTCTTTGGACTGTGGGAGGAAGCTGGAGTCCCCAGAGAGAACCCACACTGACACTGGGAGACACATGGGGTTCGTAGCAGGAACCCTCTTGCTGTGAGGCGAAACAAAGCTAAGCGCTGCACCACCTTGCCACCTCAAACCAATTTTTGTTTAAATTTGCACTTCCCCATGTCGTCCACGATACAGCAGTCAGTGGATTTTCTGCTCTGAGGTACCTGGCTAGAAACATAGTATGAGTGCTCCTGGTTCCACTATCCTGGTCTGTGTGACCTTAATGCGAGAGGCAGAAATCTAAACTAAAATAAACACCTAAATGCGTGTTTTGGATGTTTTCTGTCCACTGGTCTGAAAGAAGACATGTTATAGAGACAAGATAGTCCAAAATCTCAAACCTGACCAATGCATGACAAAAAAGGGGCTATGTTTTTACCTGTAGAGTCTCCTTTAATAGTAAATTCAATACACTGGGGCCTTAATAAATTGTCTTGTAGGCCAGATTTGGGTTGGGTTAGTTTGAGATCCCTGCTTTAGATTAATAATGACAACCCAACTTCTATTAGCTCTGTCCCACCTCTAACAAAAGACAATACAGTATGGCATGGTTATGGCAAAAAGGAATATTTTAATTCTTTGGAAAACTGGGGATGCGCCTTCTTTCAAGACCTGGTTGGCAGAAATCACCAACTTGTTCCACATGGAGAGAGTTAGATAGTGTTTCCCTCAGCTCTGTAATCTTTGATAAAATATGGCAACCAATCATGTCCTATTTATCGAGAATGGCCTAATGTGTTGTATGTATGTATATATATATGTATTTGTTAATAATGGTTTTGACAAGCAGCATGTTTGTACTTGTATTATATGTATTTCTATAAGACCATTTTTTTTTGTCTTTTTCTGTCTTCTTTTTCTTTTCTTTTGACTTGTATTTGTGTTGTTTGCATTAAAATCTTAAAATCTATGAATAAAATATTCATCTAAACTAGATTAATAATGACAGTAAAAGTGTACCAGTGGCACTGGTGTAGGTAAAAATACTCGAGAAATATTATTTTACAAGACCAGAGCAACAGGAGCTGATGCAAATAATATATAACTCTCCATACACTCAACATGCAGTGTGTGTGTCTGCAACTGATCCTTGACTTAATGGATCCTCAGGTAAATCTGAACCCCTTCATGCTCATCTGTATGGGTATCTAGGGCAAAATACCCTACAGAAAAAAGCATGTATTTGTGAAATAATTCACAGACATGTTTCCCTGAACTGTTCATAAAAAAGGAAATGGATTCCCCAAACAGTCGAGGCGTACTGCTTTGTTAAAAAAACAGTATGATGTTTGCCTGTGCATTGTGATTTTATTACTGTCAGATCCAGGAAGAAGTTCTTCCCTTGTGTTTTAATGTATCCCCCAAACTAATCCTTCTGCTGCAGACACAGGAAGGACGAGCTGGAGAGGCGCATGTCGGCCCTGCAGGAGAGCAGACGGGAGCTGATGGTGCAGCTGGAGGGACTCATGAGGCTGCTAAAGGTAAGACGATCACCTGTTTCTAGAAGAATCAGGAGTGATTAAAAAACCTCTGAGTCTATATCTTACCATAGGATGGTGCATAAACACTAAGACATTAGCCTAAATAAAAATAACATCTTACTGTTTTGTCAGTGCTTATAGTTTACATGATTCAGTTTCTACATCTTGGTGGCATGTCTGATTAAATGAGATGTTTGCATGTTTGATTCTTTAAAACCAAGGCACTGGTGATCTTAAGTTATGTTAATGTGCCGTATGGTGCATGCAGAAAATCCTTTTCTTTCTCTTCTGCTGCTTTAATTCTGTTGCTCTCACTCTTCTTGCTCTCTCTCACTGCTTACCTTTGCTGGCTGATAGGATGAGGAGCAGAAGCAGGCTGTAAGTTGCCCTTAATTCAGTTTGCAAGGCTCAATACCTGACTCTAGTCTCAGCACTTAGTTTTATGCTACTATACTCCCCCATCACACAGATGTGATTGAGGGACGTTTTCCTAATAGATTTTAAGAAGGATGTTAGGAAAGGTAATAGGATTCCACTATCTAACTGGGTTACACAGATCTAGTCCCACTCCAACACTTCCTTTGTAGCAGCGTTGGGGAGCTAAAATTATAGACTGCGACACAATCTTTAAAATCAGTTTCCTCAGGTCCTTGGTCCAAACAAGTTGAGAGAACTGTGTTTTTCTTAGCCCAAATGTCAGGGACCTGTTCCTTTCATCGGCACTAACAACCTCCCTTCTAATGTGACTGCAGTCTGGCCGGCCATCTGCTGCCTGGCTCCGAGCCATCGACCTGGGCCTGCACCAGTCCCAGAGACACACAGTGATCCTTTCTCTGTGAGATATATCTCTGGTCTCAGCACAGGCCCCAGTCGCACACCCACACATGGTTCTCATTACCCCCTCAGTGCAGTAAAGGTGCACTATAGACACACAGAGTATAGCCAGCCACTATAGGATTACCACAAGGTTTTCTTGCCTTTAAACCATTGTTTTTGTTTGTTCTCCCTATAAGGATTAAGTTCTTTTGGTCACATCTGTGTCTATGTTTGTTTTAATAAAAGTCACCTTTAGAAGCATGAAGGTCATCTCTTCCAAAAGCTGCAATCTGTGATTGCAATACGGCGTCCTCCATTGATATGCAGTTGTTCCAGAACTGGCTTGTTGGTGTAGAGATTAATTGGATTTATTCTCTCTATCAGAAGCCCAGATTCACTAAAGGCTTGCAGATGGAGGATTATTCAGTATGTCAAAAATAACCAAATACGCCATAGTATTTGATCACTATGCTCCAGCAATAACATGCCTCGTTAACACTGGTCTAGTATTTTTGCACCTGTCATATATATACTATTTATTTGCTGATGCAAGTCAAGATTGCGGACAGCCCATAAACACGTTTAAAGACCAACTGTCCCTGAGTATTGACACTTTTTAAAGTCTTGAAATAAGACATATTGTCTTATGTATTCTGAGATGACTAAACTTGATTTCAAAGAAACAGTTGGACATTTTGGCAAATATGATACCTGGCCAAGAGAGACCACTGTTGTGTCTGTACAGTAAATGTAAAGCTACGTCGGTTAGTGTACCTTACCATAAAGACTCAAACAAGGGCTTAGATTTCGTTTCAATATCAGGGGAGTGATACATATGAAATGGGGGAAAACTTTGATCATCAAACACTTCATTTTCTGCAGAATTTTTATGCACAAATTTGTGCCTTTTCTGCATCAATTTATGGTATAAATGTCTCAGAATAAAAGCCCTCTGCTACTTTCATGTTTTACTTGGGGGGATAAATGCACATGTCGTAAATCTTGAGGGGGGCATGTCCCCTGCGTCCCCCCTGAAACTCACACCTATGTACTAGAAGCAGGGGGAAACAGCTACCCTGGCTTTGTCCAAAGGTAACAAAATCTGTATACCAGCACCTCTAAAGCTCAGTAAAATATCATGTTATCTCTTTGTCTAATCCATACAAAAACAGAAATGTAAAAACATCAACTTGTGGTTCCATACACACGACAGCGATATTAATCTTCTCATCTATGCTCTAAGTGTATTTCCTAAAATATCGAACTGTTACACAGAGTACAACAAGTGCTGAATTGTAAAGGTTACATATTTTTTGCTGATGATACTGTGACTATCACATGTGTTTTTATGTTGCAGTCCCAGACTGGAAGCTCCCCTCATTCTTCCCCCAGTCACGGTGCAGGCTGCTCCATGCCCATGCCCATACGCTCCACCTCGGCTGGGTCTACCCCAACTCACACACCGCAGGACTGCCTCGCGGGGGTAGGAGGGGACGTGCTTGAGGCCTTTGCTCAGGGTGAGTGTGCACCAGCACCTTAAAGGAGTAGTTATGTATGACATGGACTAGGGCTGGGCAATATATCGGTATTACATCAATATACACTAGATATCATCTTAGATTTTGGGTATTCCAATATCGCAAGTGTTTCCTGGTTTTAAAGGCTGCATTAAAGTAAAGTGACGTAATTTTCTGAACTTACCAGACTGTTCTAGCTGTTCTATTTTGAAAAGTGATCATGAGCTTACCTTTTTTTATTCAGACCTGGACCTAAAGGGACTGCACTTGTATAGGACCTTTCTAGTCTCCCCGACCACTCAAAGCATTTTAATACTTGATGTCACATTTACTCATTCAGGCATACATTCCTATAATGGTGGCCGAGGCTACCATACAAGGTTCCACCTGCTACTCAGTGACCATTCACACGTACTCACTGATGGAGCAGTCATAAGGAGCGATTTGGGGTTCAGTATCTTGCCCAAGGATACTTCAACATGCCAACTGAAGGAGCTGGGGATTAAACTGCCGATCTTCCAATTAGTGGACAACCCATTCAACCTCTGAGCTATAGGTGCCCCAGAAAATTCAGATTCAAAATTCAAACTATACTTCCCACCATAATGCAGTGATTCTACTACCACACAGCGGAGGAATGTAACTCATTACGTTCACTCACGCACTGTACTTAAGTACAAATACAGCTTTCCATAAATATTGAATATTGTACCTTTTACTCGATAGATTAATTCAACACTTAAAGATACTAATCGATAAAAAACACATATGCTTATACGATATGATGTAGTGCTACATTACAATCTACTTAGTCATATATATACAGTCAGGTCCATAATTATTTGGACAATGATACAGTTGTCATCATTTTGGCTCTGTACACCACCACACTGGGTTTTAAATGAAACAATGAATACCTGCTTAAAGTGCAGACTCTCAGCTTTCATTTAAGGCTTTTTTCAAAAATGTAGTATGAACCATGTAGGAATGACAACCATTTCTTCACACAGTCCCCCTACTTTAAGGGCTCATAAGTATTTGGACAAACTAACATAATCATCAATTAAACAGTCAGTTTTAATACTCGGTTGCAAATCCTTTACAGTCAATGACTGCCTGAAGTGTTGGACCCATAGACATCACCAGATGCTGGGTTTCTTCCCTGGTGATGCTCTGCCAGCCCTTTACTGTAGCCGTCTGCACTTCCTGCTTGTGTTTTGGGTGTTTTGCCCTCAGTTTTGGCTTCAGCAAGTGAAACGCATGCTCAATTGGATTCAGGTCAGATGATATGACTTGGCCATTGCAGAACATTCCACTTCTTTGCCTTAAAAATGTCTTTGGTTGCTTTTGCAATATGCTTCAGGTCATTGTCCAACTGCACTGTGAAGCATCGTCTAATGAGTTTTGAAGCATTTGGTTGAATCTGAGCAGATAATGTAGCCCCAAACACTTCAGAATTCATCCTGCTGCTCTTGTCAGCAGTCACATCATCAATAAATACAAGAGAACCAGTTCCACTGGCAGCCATACATGGCCATGACATAACAGTACCTCCACCATGCTTCACTGATGAGGTGGTGTGCTTTGGATCATGAGCAGTTCCTTCCCTTCTTCCTTCTCTTGTCTTCCCATCATTCTGGTAGTTGATCTTTGTTTTATCTGTCCATAGTATGCTGTTCCACAACTGTACAGGCTTTTTAGATGGTTTTTGACAAACTCTAATCTGGCCTTCCATTTTTAAGGCTAACCAATGGTTTGCATCTTGTGATAAACCCTCTGTATTTATTCTAGTGAAGTCTTGTCTTGCTGACAAGAGCAGCAGGATGAAAGCTGAAGTGTTTGGGGCTACATTATCTGCTCAGATTCAACCAAATGCTTCAAAACTCACTGGACGATGCTTCACAGTGCAGTTGGACATTGACCTGAAGCATATTGCAAAAGCAACCAAAGACATTTTTAAGGCAAAGAAGTGGAATGTTCTGCAATGGCCAAGTCATATCATCTGACCTGAATCCAATTGAGCATGCGTTTCTCTTCCTGAAGCCAAAACTGAGGGCAAAACACCCAAAACACAAGCAGGAAGTGCAGACGGCTGCAGTAAAGGGCTGGCAGAGCATCACCAGGGAAGAAACCCAGCATCTGATGATGCCTATGTGTCCAACACTTCAGGCAGTCATTGACTGTAAAGGATTTGCAACCAAGTATTAAAACTGACTGTTTAATTGATGATTATGTTAGTTTGTCCAAATACTTATGAGCCCTTAAAGTTGGGGGACTGTGTGAAGAAATGGTTGTAATTCCTACACGATTCATACTACATTTTTGAAAAAAGCCTTAAATGAAAGCTGAGAGTCTGCACTTTAAGCAGGTATTCATTGTTTCATTTAAAACCCATTGTGGTGGTGTACAGAGCCAAAATGACAACAACTGTATCATTGTCCAAATAATTATGGACCTGACTGTATATGGTACCTAAAACTGACTCCACATTGACTAACTACAACATTAAAATGCTTTTGCACTTATTTGCTAGTGATAAAATTAGAATAATATAATATTCTAAAATAATATAATACTGCAAAAAGTGCTACACTGCTAAATGAGTACTTTCACCTTTGATACTTTAATTACATTTTGCTGAAAGTACTTTTAACATTCTAAATTCAGGACTTTTACTTGTAACGGAGTATTTTTAGACTGTGGTCTTTCTACATTTACTTTAAAGGATCTGAGTACTTATTCCCCCACTGCCACCAAGACATGCATTTCAGCAGCCTGTTCAAAATTTCACATAATTACACTGCATGAGTAGAAACTGCATGTGTGTTTAATCTGAAAATGTCTCTGTTTTGTAGGTGTACCTAGAAATCTTCGGAATGATCTATTAGTTGCTGCTGACTCAATCACAAACACCATGTCGTCACTGGTGAAAGAGCTCCACTCAGGTTAGTCGATAACACATGTTTCGTGGTTTGGGTCAGTTTTATCATCTGGATTACGTTCTGTTTAAGATTGTTCTATTTCCTGGAATTTAACAGGTTATTACTTAGATATCTCTTTCTGCATGTTTGTCATTACTGTAGTCATCAAAAACAATGTCACTAAAATCTCTGGTTTTATTTATGAAGTTGATGACGGGGGAGTGGACGAGGAGACCAACATGAGGAACGGTGGGGACAGAGGTAAGTCTAAATACATGCTCATAGTTTCCTACTTTAATCTTTCAGATCCAGTTATACTGTATTTAGAGTATACCACTCAAAAATAGAATGTGTTGATTATTAAGATCGGCCAAAACATAAACATGCAGTGTTTCCTTCTGTTTTTTTCAGCTGAAGCAGAATGAACATCAAAAAGTAGGAATTATAATTAATTATAATTATACATTATGCATATATAATGTAGTACGGAAGTGGAGAACAGCTGTGCTTTTAATAATTTTATTTAATTCAAGATCAGAAGTTACTTATTCTGTTATTTCTAGATATGAAAAATGTTTTCTGGTGATAATGGTTTAATCGTTGAGACAACAAGCTGTTGTTTGGCAACATACAACAACAGCCTGTTGTTTTCTCTAGTTAACAGGATAAATATGTGTTTTTAACAGAAAATTAAAGGCTATTTAATGTGTTAATTATCCTATTATCTCATGAAAAAAACATATTGTGTTGAAAAAGGAGATAATTAAACTGTCATCACAAGAAAACAACCTGCTGTTGTTTTATCTTGGAAAACAACAGCTTGTTTTCTCAAGATAACGAGATAATTAACCCACAATCACGAGAAAATGACATCCTGTGATAAGGGGATAATTAACTGAAATAAAATTATTGCAACCACAGTCGTTCTTGGCTTCCGTATATAATAAGTTTATAGAAACAAGTTGGCTGAAGTACTTTTTTTTCTGCAACTGGACAAAAAGTAGCTGGTGCTAATTATGACAGTGTTGTTTCTTTTCTTTGCTGGATTGGAAGAGTTGGCTGCACCTTTATCACACCTATATCAGCCAATAAAATACTTGTTTGGCTCCTTATAATGAACGTCTGCTACAACTCTCCATCCAAAGTAACAAAGCACCATGGCACATTGCCACAGTCATTTATACTTTTTTTTTTTTTTTTTTTTTACAAATTAATTCAGACAATGCAGGCTGTCAGCGGAACTAAATGTGCTCCTTTTTGTGCTTGTTGTGTGTGTGTGTCCAGGCACATTGAGAGTACAGAAGCACTGAGGACAAGCAACAAAACCATTCCACCCTGTAAGGACATACAGTCATCAACTGGGAAGAATCAGTAACAACAAACAACAACAACAACAACCCCTGGCATTAGCACGTAGAGTAATGCATGCTGTAATCTAACAGGATTTCACTATGTGAAAAAAACTTCACACCTTGCAGGTAGCAAGATGTGTCTAATTAGCGAGTGTGTATGTTGTCCTGTAAACAAAAACTGCTGTAATTACCCAATGATTTCCCTCATGACTGCTAAGGAATGGCTTGCTGTGCTTTCTCCCCCAACTGTTCCATAGCAGCAGATCATTCTGTATATAAAATACTGTAAACACATGACCACGGGAACGCCCCAACATGAAGGTGACAACATGTTCCCTTGTTGTTGCTTTTGTATAATTAGCGCTAGTATTTTCTTTTTTTGGGTTTGTTTTGTTTTCTTTTCTTTTATTATTTTTGCATGAAGTTGCACTCATGTCTAGATTTAGGTACTGTACCATGCTATGCCAGCTCTCTGTGGAATTATGATGACAGCTGGGGTGTCAGAAGTGTCTTGCCTCAGAATTCACGCTGAGTGTGTTTACTTGCACATCCATATTCTGAAGTTGGTTTAAAAAATTCTGGATAGTCTCCAGTTTCAGCTAAAATAATAGTTTGACATTTTGGGAAATACTACTTGCTAAAAGTTAAATAAGATCGACACTTTTCTCATATTTGTGCATCAAATATGAAACTGGAGCCAGGAGCCGGCTACCTTAGCTTAGCATTAAGACTGTAAAAAGGGAAGCAGCTAGCCTGGCTTTTTTCATTCCCTTTATACAGTATGTAAGGAATCATGTTTAATGTTAAACCTAAATGTTAGCATTTGATGTGTTGTACCGGAGTTAGCTTTAAGCTAATTTTTATGTACACATTTTCAATGTTTTTTTATGGATGGAAAAATATATAAAGTAGTAATCCAACATCTTATGAAATGGGCTTATTCACCTCTTAGTGAGAGTTAGCTGATATCTCTGCGCTAAATATGAAGCTTCCACCAGCAGTCATTTAGCTTAGCTTAGCACAGAGACTGAGAACAGAGCTAGCTTTGCTCTGTCCAGCTTACCAGCACATCTAAAGCTCACTGATCAACATTTTATAACTTGGTTGTTTAATATGGTTGGTGAATTTAGAAACAACAAGTTGTAGTCTATAGGATGTTAGATGCTGGACTATTTCTTGGCCAAACACAGTCACTTCCTGAAGTCTTGCTCTTAAAATGAGGATTAAAGGCAAAACCACAACTTGTCGTTTTTACGCTTTGCCTTATAAAGATTTAACAAGGGAGATGTTGCCAGGCTAGCTGTTTCCTCATTTCCAGCAGACCGCTAGGAACAGCGCCAGAGTTAAAGCCAATTTGACATAGTGGCCAAACCATTTAACTAAAACGTCCGTGTCCGTCACATGATGCCCTGGGGCCTAAAAGTACTTTTTCCCACAGATTTCAATTGTGAAAGAGACGCCTGAGCATCACAAATCCTGTAAAATGACTTAGTCTAGTGTTGTTTTGTAAGTCTATAAGAGCCACATGATTAAATAATTTTATCCTCATTCAAGTAAGCAGAGGGCTAAACAGGAAGTTAGTTGCTCAGCCGGCAGAAGTCTCTGGTGCTCTTGCTGTATAGGCCCAACAATGTGGAAGATCTAATAAAAAGTCAAACATTTTTGGCTTTGTGCGCCACTGAGCAACTTTCATAAGAGTAAATAAGGCCCTGCCTACAACACAGTGCCCAGTTCTCTTTATGCATCTATGGTTTCCAGTGTTTGTGCTAAGCTAAGCTAACCACATGTTGGCTGTAACCTTATATTTACTCACAGACATGAGATTAGTATTGATCTACTTGTCTAACTCCTAGCATGATAGCAAATAATCTTTTCACAATATGTTGAACTATTCTTTTAATCATAAAAAAAAAAACATTAGTTGCAGCTCTCGTCAGGAGTCAGTTGTCCCATGGTAATATTCTTTCTAAGAACGTAAGCAGGACTATATCTTATTACAGTATACAGAGGCACATAAACAACTTGTCCTCTTTCAGGTCGTAAAAAGAAATAATAGCTTGTATCCAGAATACAGTGTGCATGTAAACACACTCGCTGAGTCACATACTGCTGCTACTGCGCTCTCAGTGAGCCACCCTTGCAAATAAGAGGGCTGTGCAAATAATAGAAACTGAGGAGGCCACTACAAACACAATGAGCCGAGTCTTGTTGTTCCCTCCCCATTAAAACTTAACTGAACACACCTGACTAGCTGGCAGCCTCAGTATTTACAGTGTAGGGAAGCACCTCAGGATGTTTAAATAGTAACGAATTAGGCAGAGTTTTAGTTACTAAATGACCACTCTACAGTATGTGAGGATGTAAGGTCTTAGTAAGCAAGTAGGAAATGCTTTGATAGCTTTATTTACTTAATAAAGGAATACTGAAAATGTTTATGTGCAATGAAGGTAGGTGCTCAGGGACTGCAGAGCTACTCCAGTTACAAAATGGTCGTAATGTCCTTTAACCTCTAGACGTCACTGGCCACAGACTGAAAGGTTAAAGGTCAATGATGATTCAAAATGGAGGGTTTCATTCCAAACTTGCTTGTGATCCCTGTCGAAGATTTAGTTGAAAGTAGTTAAAGGTATACTATGCAGGAATTGTCGATTACTGTTCGTAAACACAACATTAAAACTCCTTCCTACACTGCTTGTACGTCCAATGCAAGCTACGATTGTTGGAATGTTACATCTGTAATGGGAAAACCAATACTTTGGCAAGCTAACTAAACTAACCGTCAGCACCTACCTATCCAACAGAAAACAATGATCTACTGGTTAATGCTACACTTCAGTTTACTGCACTATGCACCACCTGGGTCTGACAAACGTTAGCTAGTGGTGCCACTTATTTGGCGGTTACTGTGTGTAACACTGTCCTGACTCAACAGTGTTGCAGTGGAAATAATGTAATTAAAATTGAGCGGGTGACACTAGCTAACTCCCACAGGGTTTTGCGCACATGGGAGAAGTTTTCCTTGTGTAGGCCCTTTACAAGAAAGCCCTTTCTGACAGAAATCTATTCATTTTAACCCAAACCACAACTTCTTTCCTAACCTTAACCATGAGAACTCTTTCTGGAAGAAAACCCTTGAGGAACATTTCTCCTAACTGCGGGTTTTGTGTAGTGCAGAGTGGTTAAGGCTAATGTTAGTTAACCAGACAAGACCAGATGGTGGTTGGTGGGGGGCACTGTGTCTGCATGTTAACATGGCCAGCCAGCTATTTTTCAGCAAAGCCGACAGAAATTAAAGGCAAGGCTCTACTGCCCCAAAAATGAAATGGGTAGTTAGCGATTAATGGGTGTCTGGCTATAGAAAGTAAAATTAACCAAAACAGACATCCCTAAAGGGATTATTTTAGACTAAGTCTTTTTTTTTTTTCTTTAAGAAAATCCTGTATAGTATACCTTTAACTTTACTCTCACCAGTCTCATTTTGGAATGAAACTCTTTAGATATATATAGGAAAACAACAGTAAGTGATTAAATGCCGGGTCAAGAAAGTAGATAATTAGAAGGAGAGAAGTTTTTATAAAGTGCTATTTGGTGAAGCATGTTGTTGGATATAGTTTGTCTGTGTGTAAATTTGTGTCTTTCACGGCAAAGCAAAGCGATCTGTTTGTTACTAAGGTAGCTGTCAACCAGTGAGGATGTTCATTTTGATCAGGTCCAAGTTACCTTTACATTTTTTGTTTTCTGGTTCAATGTTTTTGTCCTTCAGGGTAGCCAAAAATTCTCAAAAAAGAGCAATGTTTGGTTTTTAGAAAATGCAATGTAATAAAGGTCTGGGAGCAGTTTTATTGGAGTAACATTTATGGGTAAAAATCTGAGTGAATCAAATTAAAAAGCATGAGGTTTTTGTTGTGAGATCTGTACAGTAAGCCTATCCTATAAGCTAAAGTATAAGGTTTCAACAGCCTGTTACACTGTGTCAGGAGAAACAACAAAAAGAGGCTTCTCTGTTGTTGACATTTTAAATGTGATGTTTTTATTCAGTTCTCTGTTCTGCTCTATGTTATCATTATTGTTTAGTATTAGTGGAGTATAGTCAATGTAATGAGTTTGTCAAAATTGAGATTCACGTGCACACTCACGCTTGCATAGTCGCCCAAGTATAAATTTATACGAAGAAAGTAGAAAAATTGAAGCACAGTAATTTAAATTCTGTGACCAATGCTGTCAAAAAGCTCAGCAGAAAAGGTCCAGAAATTATTAAAAAGCAGAGATAAAATTTTAAAGAATTACTGTCATCCCCTTCATTCTGTCTATGCATTTGAATTTAAGTTATTTTCTGTCATTTTTTTTCAGTTTGTGCCTGTAGCTGTTCTGTAAAGTGCTGTATAAAGTAACCATTCAGCAAATACGATGATCTATCAGCCTTTATGTCTGTGACTTTGTAGAGATTTTATTTATTTATTTAATGTGTTCTGGGGGAAACTCATGCTCAGCCTTTACATTTGTGCCAAACTGTTTGCAGACATTGTGTGTCATACAAATTACAGGTATATCAAAGTATATCTGCATTAGTATGTTGTTGTTGCCCATAGTTTATTCATAGAATGCCTGGAGATGTTCACAGTTAATGGTTTCCACTGCTGGAAATTAACATTTAATAGTTAACAAAGACACAACACATTCCAAATCTACTGATAGACTCCCTGATGTCATTATAGCCAATGTGGAGGCAATACCATATACCCCATCAGACTAACTGTGGGTAACACCAATAAAACACGGCCGGTCATACAGAGGTGCATACATTGTGATCCTTTTTTTGTTTGCAGAGAGACAATGTGCAAAGAGGACGCTCCCCTGTTGTTATTTATCTATGTCTGTGTTCTGTATGGTTATGCTTCTGGTACACATTTGTTTCTCATGTTGATTTTACAAAACATAGTTTTATGTCACAAAGTCACTGTCTTTTGTAAATAAATCAAATGTGAGATATATTAAAAAAGATTTAAAATATGGCTTTGACTGGTCACGTCCTGATTGTTGGTCACTAAAGGTCATTACCAAACACACATCATTTATTAATGTTAGGAAAATGATTAATTACATTTCTTAAGTATGATTTTAAGGTACTTATACTTGATATTTTTCTTCTAACTTTTACTTCACTATTGTCAGCAGGAAAAATTGCACTTTTTAGTCTTTTTCATGACAGCTGGTGCTACTAGTTACTTTACAAATTAATGTAGATGGTAGATGGACGGTTCGTCAACTGTCACATATAGTTTACAGACAATCTGTTTAATATCTAAATAATAAAGCAAAAAGTTGCATTGTTGAATCTAAACCATGCATCCATTTTCAACCGCTTATCTGAAGTCGGGTCACGGAGGCAACATGCCGAGCAAAGTATTCCTGACGGCCCTCTCCCCAGCAACGCTCTCCAGTTCCTCCTGAGGGACCCCGAGGTGTTCCTAGGCCAGTCAAGATGCCCCAGGGCCTCCTACCAGTGGGACGTGCCCAGGAGGCATCCTGATCAGACGCCCATACCACCCCAACTGACCCCTTTTGACATGAGGGAGCAGTGGCTCCTGTCCGAGCTTCCTCCAGATGTCCAAGCTCCTTATCCTATCTCTAAGGCTGAGCCCAGCTCCCCTTCAGAGGGAACTTATTTTTGGGTTGGGACAAAGATGGACCAGTAAATTGAAAGCTTTGCCTTTTGGCTCAGGGCCCGCATCACTGCAGACACTACATATATAATACACACACAATTACATTATGTTACCCAGAAGTATATAAAGTAGCTAAAATTAGCTCCACCAGCTACAATAAAATGCTGTTTAAACTTATATGCATCAATAACTATGTTTCCAATAATACTGTATATACAATAATATAACACTCTGGAAGCAGGCATCCTGCTGCACCATGACTACTTTTTCTTTTGAAAGTGTAAGTAAAATTTGCTGTTCATATTGTGTGTAAGTGACTGTTGAATATAGGACTCTTACTGGTAATGGAGCATTTCTACATTGTTGTATTGATGCTCTTACTGAAGTGACGGAGTACTTATTTCTCCATCATCACTTTTTTTTGTGTTTATTGTCTGCCCGTGTATAGTATGTGTCTTTATCAGTCAGTGTGCGTGTCTGTAGCCCTAGAAAGAGCATATTGTTTGTTGTTTTAAATGTGCTCACCTTTAAGTTAAAGTGATTTGTTTCTCACGGACACTGAGGTGAAAACAACCCTTAAATCACATAGTACTTTTTGTGCCTGACTTGTCCATGACACGCTTCCTCTTTATCAGCTTCTTTTGAAGACAAAACGGGTGAACACTTCCTCCTAACTGGTCCGACAAACACAATGCCCTTCCTGCCTAACCTACAAACCTAAATCAAACTCTGGCCCTTTTCCTGCTGCTTTAGGCCGGGGACAAAGACAAAAACCACACAGGTGAGATGAGGCCAAGACACTCTGACATATCAGCATCCTCCTTTGTGGGTTTCTAGGACGAGCGAGCAGCACACACTACTCTCTGTAGGTCGCGTGGCATCGTCTTGCTGCTGCTGAGGCTGCTGTCCTCAGATGAACCACTCAGTGCCATTGACTCTATGAGAAAGAGGAGATGCTGCTTCCAGATCACTGAACCACATCTGCCTGCTGCACACATTTTCTCTCTCACTCCTTGGCCCTAAAGAGCACTCAGCATGCCTCACAGGGAGCTGCTCTGAGAGCCTTTAACTCTCCTGCATCTGTAACGTTTACCTCACTGTGTCTCCGACTAGTGGGCGTGTGTGGGATAAGTGTTGATAGTGGTAGGGCTGCTGTAGGGTTAATGGTATGAACGTGATAAGAGATTTGATATCTTGTTCTAGCTGCACTCTAGGAAATGAAACGAAGATGTGGTGCTAGATAAAGATTCTGCTCAGAGGATAAAATCTCTGAGACTGCAGGCAATGAGCTACATTCTCCTACGTTCGTTCGGACATACAGATTTAAGGTCAAATAAATGATTGGCCCAGTGTGCCCAGGAATGTAAGTGGTTTAATTATCTACTTAGGACAGTCCAAAACAGCTTGTTTGGGTATATTTGTTAAAAAGAAATGCTGTCAAATAATTTCATATTAACTTTTCAAATTAACTTGTCAAATCATTTCATATTAACTTTTCAAATTAACTTTTTCATCCACCTGCCACTGTGGCTGGTGGATTTCAAAATCTACCAGCTACTCAATAGATTACCATTGTTATTTTGGCTGGCAGGCAAATCTAGCAGCCACTTGCATATTTTATCAGTATTTGGCTGATGGCTGGTGCTAATTTCCAACCCTGTGATGACATCTTTTTCATTTTTCTATTGGCACAGTGTCATTGTGTTGTTAAACAGCAAAATTGTGCAAAAATCATCACTATGGTGGTGTCTGCATGTATCACTTAATGTGGTTTTAAACAGCTGAACAGTTGCAGTTTCAGTAGAGTGAGAGGAGACGCAACCCCGAGATAGGGTAGGACACTAGTTCACTAACTTTTTCTGTCATCATACTGCATTTATAAGCTGAAGAAATGATTGCAGATTGCATTTTTATAATCTGATGACAATACTGGAGAAACTAGTAACAAAAGGAGCTCAGTTTAATTTGAGTCAATCAACACTCAGTAACATGTTAGGTTAAATTCAGGAAGAAAACACTTTTTCTCACATGCCTCCATGGCGAACAGAGAATCCAAAAACAGAGAAAATTCTTGATTTATTGAAGTCAAAAGGGATTGCATTTCATAACAACAAAGTACTGGCACACTACCTGTCTGTGCCTGTGACTGTTAATACAGAGGTGTTGTAAATATTACAGTTCTAGCAAAAATGCATGTGTTTGAGAAGTACAGAGCACACGACTGGATAAATGAGGCTTGGATTATACTGCACAAGTTGTGTGAATGTTTGTAGATGGATGTTTTACTATAGTTTAGCTGTAGATAAACATGGACCCCTATGATTTTAATTCATCAAAAATTTGCTCCGTTTTTGGATTCTTTGTTCACCATGAAGCCATGTAAGAAAAAGTATTCTTCAAGAACTCAGTCTAACATGAGGAGAGTAACTGATACACAAATGGTCATCTGGGGGGTGGAGTCCTCCTTTAAAGACATGAACCGTCTCTTAATCCATGTTTCTTATTAGTTTCTGTTATGCAAATGAGAAATTCAAGTTACACTTTGACTGAACTGCCACAGTTTTTACATACTAAAGACACAAGAATTTCCTGCTATTCTGACAGCAACTCCATTATCATGAATTTGATGAACAAGTTTGGTTGATGAGCAGCATCACCAAAGTCTGTAAAATACAAGTTAATACAAGACAAATATTGCTTGATAGCATCAGAGCAGTGTCTTTAGAGTTCCCAAATGAATCACATTTATCGAGCTTTTTAATAGCAGACATTGTCATGGCAGAAAAAGCACAGGTGTTACTAATAACATTAACGAGGACTTCAACCCAGCAATTCATGCAATCCAATGCAGCGTTTAACAATGTCATTAGTTACATCTGTGTTGGATAAGTCAAAATGTCTGCTGTAAGAACGGTCGGTCAGTTCAACATGAAATGGAATAAGAGGACACTGTGTTTTACACCTGAACAGAATCTCAGGTGTCACGGCAGCCAAAGAGTACACAGAACAATACAGAAATATATGAATATATGTGATAAAAAATGTATGTCAGAAGCTTACAAATATAACCATTACATGTGTTGGGAAATAGGGGACTAGTGTGGTGTAATAGTTGAGGTTTGTGCAATGGAATGCGCTGAGTGCGCAAATGTCAGAAACCACTATACTTTACCACACTGTATGTACTCAAACATCTGTGCCTACACAAAAGTACATAAACTGAGTACTCAAACAGTAAGCTTGTATTGTAGTGTGAGTATTTGTAAAAGGAGAAACATTACATTAAGAGTTTACTTCAGTGTTAAGAAGTTAATATGCAGTGCAGTATCATCAGAAGAACAACTGGAGAAAGCACGTGTTTTGCTTCACTAGGCCTCAAAGCTGGCCCGAGGCATCAGCTAATTACATGGCTGCTTAGGGCCCCACAGCCACCAGGGGGCCCATAAATGCAGCACATTAAATATGGGGAAGTCTCCTCAGGTTCCTGTGTTCATTTTGTCAACATTTAAATACAATTACTATGTGTGTGCTGTGCTTTTATATTTTATGCACTGATTGAAGAAGTTATGAGCACATAGCTTTTTTTCTTTTAGTTATTTTAATTGTAGTTAATCATATATTAATTAATTAATACATGTGTACACCATGCAAAGGTCATTTTGAAACATAAAAGTACTTAAGTTTGAATGTACACCGCATTTAAAATGGCAATGGTGATATTTTCTGTGAAAACATTATGGCAAATGGTACGGGTCCCTCTTAGGTTTTTACATGGTGTCACCATAAAATACACATGTATGAAGAAGTGGGTCAAATAAATATTCCCTATAGCCCCATGCCCGAAACAGGCTGGGGCTGATGCTGTTTGGCCTAGACAGTGCCATCTTAGCAATAAAATCAACATAAAACAAACCTTTCTAGGGGGAAGTGGTGAATATAAGAAAAGGGCATTCGTCTTCACACACAGGTCTAGTGTTTATGTTTACCCTGAGATCACATCACAGGGTCCAGAGTGGTACTTGGGGGGCTATTGGGCAACTCAAATGTCTCGTAGGTGTAATATGAGTTTACAAATTAAGCATGGAAGTGCTTCAGTGGGGCACCAATGCTTAAACTTATCCTAAAAATGTTTAAGCATCTCAGCAGCTTGGTGGTCTAAGATGCAGACATGGCGATCCCAAAGTCCCCAGTTCTATTTGGACCTCTGTTACATGAGACACCCTTTGTTTTTATCTCTGTTCACTGTATCTCTACTGTTGTATGTTAAATAAAGGTAAGGTTGGACTCTTGTCCCTTGCTGACATTTTAGGTTGTTGTTTTTCTTCTTCGAGTTAGCTGCTAACTGCT